GTCTGTAAAACGGCATTCCAATCCAATTCTACTGTTGGCCCCCGGATGACCCATCGTGGTATATAATTCTGGAATGTATTTCGAATAATACTCTTTTTTGGAGAGAAGATCAATGCAGCAGAATAGAGTTGAAGAGGCGACGAGTCAGCTATCGAGCAGTAGCTGAGGATGAAACGCTTTGCATCATGAAGAAACCTGGATATCTTGACGCTTTTACTAAACTTAAGAACCATTTTCAATAAGCTTTTGCTATAGATAGCGATGAATAACCTACTTGTATCATTGCCACTAAATTTTCAATCATACTAATGCTTTCTCGCAGCCTTCCAATAAAGCTTAATGCTTCAAGCCAATGAAGAAAATGACTCTTAAGAAAATTGTGAACTTGGTTATCATCGTATAAAATACCTCCGCTCTCCTTCAAATGGTATACCCAATACTGGCAAGCATATTGAACCTCTGGTGGTAGGTGTAAATCTATTGTTCGTTTATCGACATCCGCTCGTGTCTTTTCTGGGGCTTGAAGGTTGCAGATATCCTTTTTAAGATTTTCATTCATAGATAAGACTTGAAGGCATCTATCCGCTAGCTTCGCATGGCGGTCTTTCTCGTTGATCCAGAATAGGTTTGTCTTGCGCTTCTCAGGATCAACAAGGAAGTCCCGGAATGATAGATGAAGTAGTCGTATAGGATGGTGAGGGTTCGATGGAACGCTTAAAACCGAGTGAAGCAGATCCGTCTTGCTTTCGACTGTATCCTCAGGAACTCCAAGCAGTAGATCCAGAGAAGTGGCAGAGAGGGGGTTAGCAAGGATAACAATTGAACCAACAACTTGCGTGAATCCCTCTACTATATCTCGTCTTTCTGAATCATTCGCCCCCACAATCAACTGATTCAGGACTGGGAGGTATGTTGCATCAAGCTTGGATGCTTGGCTTTTAGTTTCATACTCCAAGACCTTAGCAAGCTGACCCTTTGGTTGACCAATTTTTCGATCATTGATGAACCGGCAAATAGTTGAGGCAAAAATGAACAAGGGAACAGCCATTCTAACTAAGCTTTGGATGTCTGTTTGGCCTGGCCAGTCTATGGGTAATTTCCTATGCGTGGGGACTGATTTGTTGTACTTATCTCGGATCATCGCTAGCTCATATTCCAGGAATACAGAGATGTCCTCCTTTATAATAGGCTTGGGAATTTGTTGGAGGGCAAGCCTATCATATCTACCGTTGATATCTTCGAAGCCGAGGCGAATAGGAAGCTCTGGCCTGCTTGTTATAAAGAATCTGAGGCGTATCGATGGAATGGGCATGGCTTGTGAAAGAGTGTGGATTATAATTCTGATATCCTCTTCTCTATCGCACTCGTCCAGCGCATCAACTACTATCACTATTGTTGAAGGCTCCTGACGATCAGTTTGTATCTTGCGTAGAGGTTCTGAGATAAGCATATTAAATTGTTGCTTCAAAGCCTTTCTAGAGATGCTAGGGTCAGCCTCAATTGCGTTTCGGACAGGCAGCGCCAAGGAAGGGAGTTTTTGAACAAGCTGAGTGACAATTGTTGTAATGAGTATTCCTGCATGACCACGGTCGCCTTCGCCCCTTTTGAAGAAGAAACTAGCCCCAAGTTCTCTCTTGTTGGCGAAATTTTGAGCCACTGTCCGAGAGATTGTCGATTTGCCGGTCCCTGCCATGCCGCTCAGCCAGAATATACATTCGTTCTTTGAATGTTCAGCCCAGGTATCTATCTGCCGAAGGAGTTCAACTCGAGTGCCTTGGTAACATCTGGCATTGTGCTCTTCTTCGTGGGAGTCGAAAGCGGCGTTATCGACAAACTGCAATCTACCAAGAATAAATCTCTGATGAATATCGGCCTCATCGCGAAGTCGTCGGAGCGCATTATCTCGTCCTTCACCATAATTAAGTATCAAAGACACTCCGAAGATACCTAGTAGGGAATAAATCATATCTTCTTCATGTTTGGTTTGTCTCTTCATTGTCCAGGAGACTCGTTCATCAAAGCTGAATCTCGCTAGATCATACCCTTGGAGTATCTTGACAGGAAGTCCTGTAACTTCATGGATTAAAGGCTCAAGGGACTTTTTGTCGCCAAGGAGCTCACAATCGGCTGAGAAGAACTCGACTGAAGAAGGGGCCAGCAGTTCTTGAAGCGTCCAACCCCGCGTAAACCATCTGCTTGATCGAAAAGCCGATTCCCAAGTATGCTCAAGCAGGCGATCACTTTCTTTCTGCTCCGTTGTTGAAACATCCGATAGATAGACATAGCACTTCGCTGCATTTTTGTACCATCGAAACATACAGTTGATGGCTGTTTGAAGCTCTATCGCATCAGATTTATCGATGCAGCAAGTATCAACCCAGAAATATTGGAGGTTATCGCGAGCAGCCTGCTCTCCGCAAAATCGGATCTTATCATAGCCAACCTTGTCCTTCCCAGTCCCACCCATTAAGTCTCTGTATGTCACCTCTTCTGTATCCTTTCCCCATGTGTGCGAAAGTATAGCATAACGTGGGACGTCGTCGATGAAGTCATGAGTCAGGCTGAAGTCGCCACCGTCGTTGAACTCGATAAGACGCATCTGGCGGGATCTGGAATCTGTAGGAGAAAATTGACGGAGTATATCTATCGCAGAGTCAGTATGTGTGTGGAATCGGGGTTGAGTTGGAAGAAAACATTGATCCGGTTATTCTACCAACTCAGCTGATTGATCATGCCAACTCAGCTGTGCTATGCTGCAGCCTTGCGACAATCGCTTCCATGAGCGCGCATAATCAGCCGTCGGAAGACCATGGCAGCATGGCAACGTCTACTGTAAACCATTTGATGTTCATGCATAATTGAACTATAAATTGTGTTTCTGTTGTCATGGATATACCGTGATTGATTTGCGAAGGTTACAAATCTACTACATTTACCTCATCATCTGGGAACATGAGCTCACACTTGCAAGAACGTACAGGATCAAGAGAACGACATAATTCGAGCAGTCAGAAGGTGATTCATTGCTATATCCCTTCCATTATGTCGACAATATGATGAAGACTAACTCTAATGTACAGTAACTCGTTTTGAGGGCTTCGCGAACAATGATGATTGAGACAAGAATGGTGGAAAGAGAAGGCAACAGAATCTCCGTCTCGGTCTCGGTAGAATGTATATCCGGTCAGCAGCGCCTGCGATGATGGAATGTGGACACGCTGTTACAGCCTCAGGCTTAACAATTTGTTATATAAGCAGAGTTACCGGAACAACTTAGGTTAAATTACGTATTGTGCTCTGAAAATACGAAGATATTATGGTATGCCGTAGCTTTCAGCACGCTATTCCAAAGCGGTTAGCCAGATTGGCAAAAGTACTAATCTGTGTGGCGAGTTTAGATAAATCTGCATGGTACAACCGCCACAAGGCTTGAAAATGTTTTCAGGCATGATATTACATATATATCACTCAGGTGACACTCTATATAGAAAGTAGAAGTGAAAAAGTACTGTAGTGGAGGTATAGCGGAGGAACTATATTATAGACTTTAAGCGAAGACAATTTGTAAATTAAGCTAAGACAAGCTTATATAATTTTTTTCCTTAGTAAATGGCCTTAATGTATTTAGAATTGACTATAGAACTTAGCTAATACACAAAATATAGGGGTCGCTATGTAAGTCCAATTTTTTTCAAGTTGGAAGGTGAAGTACCCGAAGTTTTTCTCGGCACGGTTGGTTTCTCGTTACGCATGGATGGACGTTAATCTCGTATATTCCAACTTAAGATTGTATATATTTTCAACGTGTCTGTCCGCCTTAAAACAAGAAAAGAGAGCTACATGTAAGTCTCGACTAACCCCTCATTTCTTCACGTCACAGTCTGAGACTGTTATCATTTTGTAAATGGTTTCCTTAAACTACACCATACTTATAAGGTTATAACGATACATATTCATTTTTGTCCCTTTTACTTAAACTAGGTGGTTGGATTAGGAACTACCCTCTATCTCGTCGCCCTTCTATGGACATAATAGCCCTTCCCCGGCTGCTACTCTGCCCTCATTTACCCTTTAGATTGCATAGCCAGGTAGAAAGTGAAAAGCTGATAACACTCCTTCAGTTGTAAATAATATTCTTATTCTCGGATTCCGGGGGTATTAGCGGATGAACGAGGTTGTGTTTTACAACACCTGCTAACAAAAAACTTAAACAAGAAAACAGATTTTTGTCTGTCTACCTCCAGGGGTGCTAGTGCTTGGAGCACAAGTGAAATTTTCTGGCATGCGATCAGAAATGTCAGGCTGTGAAACCTCTTTCCAAACGGCATTGTAGAGAGTCATACAAGGCGAATGACTCGCTAAGCAAGCGTGCTCGACGATCAAAATGTTCCATCAATGTATCTGGGATAGCGTATTGGGCTCATTTCACGCCACAAGTTTCACCTTCTACGTATCAGCCAACTGCGTAACAGCAGCTAATATACCAATCGCCACTGTATCCCATCAGCATATTTCAAAAAACCGTGGAAATACACTTACAAGCCGCCGAAGTAACGATATAAGAAGCGATCGTCCACGCCGTCTGCACCACAGCCACATAATCCGCCCCCGGCTGCGGCGTAAGCATATACCACAACCCGACCACCAAACTCAGCACCACGGGAGCGGTGCCCCAGAAGATCAGTTTGGGAACCGACCAGCCGAGAACGAGCTGCAGCGAGTACGTCCCGTTTCGCGGATCCGCGTCGCTGTTGTTGAATTCGGCGTGGATCCAGTTCATCCAGCGATCGCCGTGGTCCTCGAAGGTCCAGAATCGGCTTTGGTAGTCTTTGAAGAGCTCGGCTAGGGCACGCTTGGTCGCGGAGTCGTAGTCTATAGTGGTGTGGTAGTCTTCGGTGGGATGGCACTTGTAGATGCCAAAACCGGTGATGTGCTTGAGAGAAAGCCACTGTCGCTTTGGCGGACGGACAATGAGGGTTGCGATGTATATTTGTTTGAATAATCCGGCGTCTCTCGTTACATAGCGCAGTGTTTCTAGTGGTGTGGTTCTGTTTCGATGAATGATGCCTACGACGACATATTTATGTTCGGCTTCTCTGGCCTGCGCAGGTCCCATCCTGCATTTGTTGGGGACGAAAGGCGCAAGAATATTGCACATGAACTCAAAATCCATGTGAAGCCAGAAGTTATCACATACAGTTGTCATGATCCATGTCGTAGCCAAAATATCAATCGTGTCTACTCTCGTCGTAACAATCCAGACTCCCCGACATCTCACACAATCCCTATCTCCGCTTGGGTCGAAATTGACAACACCGTCCCATCCGAGCGCGCCCAAAAGATAAAACCGTTTTTTCACGAGCTTCATTTTTGACCAAAAAGGAAGTTGGCGCGGAAATGGCACAATGGGCGGAGCGCTCAAATGTAACGATGCTTGATTTGAATGGTCCCGAATGTCCGGCGAGAGACTAGGAAGTTGTGGTTCTTGCCCAGAATGAGATCCAAGCGGTGGACGATGCAGATCTGGTAATGCAAGTCCTTCAGCATTGTGGGCTAGAATATGTGAGTTGATGCTTTACCACCCAAGTGTCTCGACCAGTATCGCAAGAACTTACCGGTGGTAGTCGACATGTCAAGGTGATTCTTGGTACTCAATGGTGCTAGAGATAGAGATGAATGCCTTTATTGAGTCCAAGCCACGAGAAACAGTCTTGAAGCTTTCAACTCATCATCTTGTCATCCTGAAAAGAAGGCTGGGAGCGGCAACTTTCAGCTGCGCTTGCAGCCTGTTCATCCTGACATGACGGTGATTGGTCTGTCATTGAGCCTAAATGAACGTATCAATCAAATGATCGTGAGAATGCCAAAGGCTGAGCTAGTCATATCAAACAGATGTTGAGCTAGAGATGTTGTTTAGAAGTTGGTCCATCTGGATCGACACGAGTGCACATCATCAAGTGACCACGTGACTATTTCCTATATATGTACCACTCACCCAGGCACGCCATATCTTGAGCTAAAATAGCAGAACTTCATTGTACAAGCCGCGATATTGTAGCTACTTGGGTATATTCCTCTAGCAAACACCATACATACTCCCAAGCAAAGACAAATCCATCATATGCCATATAGTAATCCATCATATCCCATTTTATACAAGCAAATCATCAGCAACCATATATCCCGAGTTTTACCATACGCATATATTCCCCACTTCACCCCTACACCAGCATCACACCTCAAGCTTTCTCAGGATCATTAATCCCACCCGTCGTAATGATATACGTAGCTTCTCTCTCTGGACAATCTATCCCCAACATCAGCACATTTCCGCCAAATCAAACCAAGCAGATCAAACTAATGATAGAAAACTCACCAGGCGAATCCACAATCTTAGCAACCCTCTCCTCGCCCCTGCCCTTCCGTAACAGAAGTCTCGTAGTAGAAGCATGTGCAAGAATATGTCCGCCAACAGGTTTCCTGCCGTCTGCGCCGGCGAAAAGAGCAGAGGCGCCGGGGTCGGACATTACTTGGTTAGTCTGCGAATATCAGTGACATGCCTTCAATTTTCAGTTCAAAGGGGAATTGTGTACCATGAGAACAGCCAAATTAAACTCCTCCGCCATTTGCGTTGCTCTTCTCAAGAAGGATCCAAGAACCTGTTGACGCTCCGAGAGTTCGCCGCGGCCTGAGTAGTCAGTTCGGTAGAGTGCCATGACGGAGTCGATGATAAGGAGACGATATTCGTTTGTGGCGAAGTTTGCGGCCAGGGATTCGAGGAGTTCGGTTTGCATCTGCGACAAGAATCAGGATGTGTTGGATGGGAAGAGGAGGGTTGGTGTACTTCGCTGTTCTGGGCACGCGCGTAGGCTATGTTCTCGCAGGCTTGATCTGGATCGACTCCGAAACGTTCTGCGATTTCCATGATTCGTTCTGGTCGGAAGGTTCCTTCTGTGTCTATGTGGCTGGTCAGATACGATGGTTGAGCAACGAAATATTTTACTCACCAATGTATGCGACTTTTCCTTCAGCACCACCCATTTCCTGCCAGGTATCAGCATCACCTCAATAATGGCTCAGTAACAAGACCTACCTTTGGAAGCTGAGCAATAACAGCCATAGTATGCGCAAGTTGAGTCTTGCCACATCCTAAACCCACTCAGCAACAACTCATACCCCCTTACCACGAACTTACTAAACTCCCCATAAACCTCACTAATACTCATAGTCTGAAATCCCCTTCAAATCATCAGCCCACACCCTTCCCAGACCCTCAAACCCCAAACCAAAAAAACTCACCCATTCAAACAAGCATCAAGCTGTTTACTCCCCGTCGAAATGCGAATACATCTCTTCCTCACCTGTCCCAGTTCAGCCGCAGTGATAAACCCCGTCGTCGTAGGCTAGCACTCAATCAGCAACCACCCATACCAACCCTCGTCACAAAACCCCCGTTACCCCCCTAACGAACGAAAACTTACAGCCATCTTCTTCGCCGCCTCCTTAATCTTCTCAACCTTGATATCAGAAAAGCCCTTAATCTTAAGAAGTCGTTTGGTGGTACACGAAACCAGACTCTGCGGAAATGTCAACAACCACCCATAAACAGTCATCAACGACGGACGGGTATATACTCACAGCGACAGTGTGGATATTATTCGCCTTCAACTTCGCGATATCCGTGGCGCCTATACCGTGGGCTTGGATCTCGTCAATGTCAATGATGCCAACCTGCAATCACCATCAGGATTTTTCGCGCCCTCGATTGAAGTTTTGGTGATGAGCAGCGGAACTCACATCCTCGTCATCGCCGATAATGGTATCTTGTGCCATCTTGCTACGCTGTAGAGATATCGCGTCACGCGAATGAAAATCAAATCTGGGGGGCTGTTGACGCGAAAAGAGACTCCCAAGTCAACACAAGACCTCGATAGTGATGTTCGGAAAAGGTGAGTTGATACTTGAAAGAGATAAGATTTCTTCCTCACTTCAACTTGGATAAGAAAACGACGAAACACGAAGAAAAGATGGACATCAAGGGAAAAGTGATGTAGACAAAGTAGAAATGCGAACTAGGTGATACCAACGGGTCGCTCCGATGGAGAGTCCGAATGCGGGCCGCAGATGATAGACGGGAGCTAGAATCCCGAGAACGGTTCGGCGAGCATTAAGTGAGTTTTTATTAGCAGGTGCCTAACCCAGCCCAGCTAACGGGGCTGCCTAATCATGCTCGAAACTAATTGTTAGTACGTTAGTTATGTCGAAAATTCACACTGGAAGAAATATAAAAAATACTCGCAGAATATTTCGTTGATGTGACTCGAGCATCAATTCGTATTTCCACGACTGCTACCGCTCTAGTCGACGAACGGGTGATGGTCCCCGTTCCCTCAACCGCTTTCCGACTCCACTCACAACCATTTCAAAGCTCCTTTTAGAGCCTCATGTTCGCTTGCCCTTCCAATTAACCATTTCGCTCTCTACCCTCCACTCCAGCCCTTCTTTCACATCCCAACGGCCTCTTCTCTCCGTGTGAAGTTTCCAACTACCAAAGCAGTGTATAAGTTATATTCCGTACTCTTTCAGCCCCAAGAGTAAGAAACTGCCGTAACACTCTTATCTTCCTCCGGTAAGAAAACACAGAAATATTAGACGCCACCGAAGTTAAAAAGTTGTAATAAGGTATCTATGAGGTTGCCAGTTCATAAGGTAGGAAATTGAATATTGTGCAAAGGCTTTTGGGTTTCGTGTCCGAAGAAAACAGTGGGTGACCAGGCGCCGAGAAAAGCAATTCCGTTTGTATATGATTATTTTCAAATGCCGAGCCCAATATGCAGATCGAGGGAAGATAGTTTTCCGCGATTGTGTTACGTGTCCAAAATAAAAATGAATGAGAGACGATGATCGTTTGTCACATTTCAGTCGATAGTTCATCGAGGCCTATCGATTTGTGGCCAGCGCCCGTAGTTTATACAGTGGGAACGCCTGGTGCAATGGCAGACACGGCGACGGCGTCAATACCGTCACCATTCAGGTCACCGTTGGTAGCCTTTTGTGGGCCTAGACATGATATTAGCTTGAGGGATCTCGAAAAGGTTACAAGGTTTGCTAGGACGTTATCAAGATAACAGGGTCCCCTAGTTCTGAACTAATCGCGGGGCTATCAAGGTTCAACTTACAATCTCTGGAGATATGGCCAGCTTCACCACATTGGTAGCAGGTCTTGCCCGCTGTGTTCAATGGTCCTCCGTTAGGAGATGTGCAGTCACTAAATGAGTCAGCAATTTTGGCTTTGCAATAGGGTGTAGGAGCTTACCGGGAGATATGTCCCAACTTGCCGCATGCATAGCACTTCATGGCCTGAGCTTGGCAATCGCGAGCAAAGTGGTTTGGTCCTCCGCACTTGTAGCAAGTGGCAGGACGTGGGTTATTGGCAAAACCACCTCCTCGAGGAGCGAACCCACCACCAAAACCACCACGAGGACCACCAATACCACGACCCATCCCTGGAATTGGACCTGGACCAGCTGGGCTTGGGCACGAGCGCTAAGAATATATAAGCATTTTCCAAGGCAAAGTTGCTTCCATGTACATACTGCCAAATGTCCAGGTTGGTTGCAGTTGTAGCATCGACCAGATGTTCCAGCACCGCTCAATCTGAGAGTTGGGCAGTCTGCTTGCACATGTCCCAATCCCTGGCAATGGTAGCATTGTTTAGCTTCAGTTGTCCTTGGCAGAGGGCAGCCATTGGATTCGTGTCCTAAATCGTGTTAAACTTTGAGCAAAGAGTGCCGCATTTTGTGACTTCTCACCTGGCTGCTTGCCTGTGATAGATTGTTAGCCTGATCCAAAGACCAAATACTGGATTCAAATACGTACAGTTATAGCAAAGACGCTCTGCGGAAGAGCATACCTCAGCGTAATGACCGACATTACCACACTTGTAGCAAGCACGACGCGAGAGCGAAGACATGGCGACTAGCTTATGGATCTGTTGTTTCCCATCATCAGCACAGCACTTAACAAATGCGCCCTCGTCCGTAGTCCATTCCCGAACAATCTTCCGACATCGATGCGGCGATCCATCTGTCCTCTGCCGATCACACTGCAGCCATTCCTCCACGGTCGTCGCTGGCATGTTGACAAAGCGTACGCGAAGCCGGGGAACCGGCGATATAGGACGTAGATATTGTTTCTTCTCCAGGCTCTTCCAGGATCAACAGAGATTGGGTTGCATGACCAGCATCTGCGCAGGCTGCAGGATGCATGAAATCTTTGTGCCACTGAAGAAGCGTCGAAAGAGTGACAAAGAGGCTGTCGACCGGAGCTATCGCGAAGCTTATGGTGTTGTCGCACGACCGATGTGTCTCTCTCGAGCTTGATGTGCCACGATTTCGAAGATTTTCCCAGACCAACAGGAACACTGCAGCGCAAACTCGCGGGACCTGCAGGAAAAGAACAGGCGATGAGGAGTGGGTAAACAAAAAGCAAACTTACGAGTTTGTTGGGACTTGGTGTTGACCGTGTTGGATTCTCAGAGTTTCCTAATTCTTTCCTGCTTTCCTTTCCTTCTCAGCAACTTCCGACTTCCTTCGACCTCCCTTGTACGACGTCTTGACTGAACCGGTGATGCAAAATAGAATGTTGGTTGAGGAAGACAAATCATGGGCGGAGAAATATGGTAATAGCCCCGGCTCCAAGGCCCAGGAAAACTCGTGCCGCTAGTTAGGCACAGCCGCAGAGGGAGACCGAGGCGGAAGGGAGTACCCACAGCTGCCCAGCAGGTGAATTTCAGGTGACGACAAGCTAACCAAAGCCAGACGCGGGACAAGCGAGACCACTTATTTCTTTACCTAGCAGCTAACACATTCCAACTTTACAACATCATATCAATCATTCCTGTACCAATTCATTCACTCAACTAATCTAAAAAACCTTCCTCATTCTCATCCCAACCCTAAGATCACCATCTCACATCCCAAAAAGAAAAATCAACCCCTGAACCAAACTACAAAAAGCACCCCTTCGTTCTCGGTCCTCTTCCTCAGCTCAGCTCTACTATATCAACGCCTCTATCGGGCAGGGAATAAGAAAGGTCAGCTGCTCAGCTGAGACTATTGGGGAAAGAAGACATGCAAATTATAGCACTATTTCAGGAGTAAGTGAATGGCTTTCCAAGTAGTATACTTGAGCTGGCAAGTGTAGCCGTCTTTATTTGTAAGCGGGGAAAATTATAATTGGTGTGTAATGGAAACATAAGTAATAAATGCACCAAGTCATCGCACTAAGCAAAAGGAATGAATGATTTATGTTTCTCAATATTCTCTACTCTTCTTCAACTATCCTACTCTGACTCCTCAACAATTCCACCAGCTTCTCCCTCCACCCCTCAGACTATCCAATACTCCCTTTCCATCCCCTATATACATATACAAAGCACTAACAATAGCACTACATCTCGAGCCAGCTCTGTTACCTACACGTCAAGTTATTCTCAACTTGACAATTACCACACCCTTCCAATAGATATTTTCTTTTGATAGCGACATTTCATCGCTCGAGCCTAGCCCCCAAGCCACTAACCCGAGATATGCTACCCAAAGATATTCGCCAGACTCCTTACAAATCGATTTAAAACAAAACTAATATATCCCTTTTCGCCAGACCCCGCTGTACACGCTAAATGATATTCGAAATCGCGCACTCAAATTAGTGCAATGACATCTCTGATGACTTGATATGATTGGGTCCTTTTTAACGCGCAATTGACGGTAAAGTGCGACCACGTTCTGATGGATGAACAGGTAATGGCACCTCCATTGTTGGAACAGTTGATCGACCTTCTGCTTCAATCACATAATCAACACCGTCGTCCGACATGTATGATGGAGGCCTAGCTGTCAATGGGCGACCGTCTTCTCCACGACTGGAGTTTTGGCGAGGTAATGGCGGCTGCTGATCATTTCTCTGCCAAAATATGCGGTTCGGATCCACTCGCTATAAGCAATCAGCGTGTGTGATGCGAAAAAAGTGGATTTAGACTTACAACTGACTCCCGCCATAATCCATAAGCTGGTGGAGGCAACTTGGTGGCGTCGCTTTCAATTCCAGCAGCTTCCTCGTCACGTGCGAGTGCAACCCGGATTGGTACGTGAGGATTGGCAAACCCACCAGGCCCAGTCATAGAAGGCAAATCCGGTTGCTGGTTATCGTCCGAAGGAGGATTTATCATCATCATACAAAGCCGGACTAAAGAGTGACAGAAAAATATTGTTGTAATCAGAATGACCAGAATCAATAGGACATGGAACTGCTGGCTCTCTTGACGGTTGGAAAGTGCCAATGCAAGGTATACAGTGAGAACAAGTGTCAGGAACTGTTCTAGTTAGCCCATACCCCAGATACGTGTTACACAATCGGTGTGTCTTACCAGTCCTGATATGAAGCAACTCAAGATTTTCGCCCGTATCTTCCTGTTCTTGATTTTTGGAGCACATCTCCTCGTAGTACTTCGCGGGTTGTTCCTTCTTCGTCTTCTGCCAGTCTCTGCCAATTGTGCAAGTCGATCATCTTCCGGGCCTACTCCAACAAATCTCCGCGCTGTCGGTGGATTATAACGTGCTTGAGGCAAGCTCGGCGGGACGACAGTGTTGTTTTCAGGTATACGTCTGGTTTCCCTTCGAAGAGGCGCGGCTGCTTGAGAAAAGACGGGAGATCGTGGACTGTGCTCGGCACGTATTGGTGTTCGAGTGGAAGATCCAGAGTTCGATCGACTGAGATATGGGATATTAAGTCGAGTCGAAGAAAAGTTACCCAACCCTAAAGGCAACTGAGGAGTCTTCGGGCTATCTGGGGTATGGCTTCTGTGTTGTGACCCAACTCTCGACCGTCCCGAGAACAGATGATTGATACTCGTCCGAATGCCCTCAACTCTTGAAGGCTGACGCCGCACCGTATCCCTCGACGACAATCGCTCCAGATCATGCTGCCTCATGGCGGGCATTGCGAAATTGTCGAAGTTTGATATTAATCGAGGCTATTGACCACTATGCAACAGGCCAACCCAAAAGTTTATTCTTCGAAGAAAAGGACGACTGTTATTAAACTCGACCACCTGCCTTGTCCTCCAAAACTGTTCTTTCGCGTGAACCCACGCTCGTCAACACAAGCAATCCTGATTGTGCCTGAGCTGCAGAGGCATTGAGAGTGGTCGAGATGACGGTTGGTATTGGTGTAAAGGAGAATGCTTCTACTTGTTTGAAGAAATGTAAGGCCAGAGATTCTCCTTGTTCGTGAACTGTAGGTCAGTGGACGCTACAAAGCCGAACCAGTCGAGGCAGGATGATAGGTGTAGAAGGAGACTAGAAACGGTAAACACCAAGGAAATGACGGTCGTCTGGAAAAGCCGAAACGTCCAACTCAGAGCTCGCTCAACGACGTGAACAGCTCTCGCACGGCTATTCCCAACTCGATTGGAAACTAAAGGAGGGTGTAGGAACTCGTATCGAAAAAGAGAATTTGGATGGACGAGACTCGCTAGTCGCAACACTGGCAAACGCATAGACGGAAGAGACAGGAAAAGAGAGGACGAGAAGGTCTGAGGTGTGTTCGACACAGAAAGAGCACCAGTCGACGGTCTGGTTCGCCTTGGGCGTTGGAGGTTGTCTCTTCCTCTGTTTTGCGGAGAAGGAGCCTCCCAAGCGACCTCGACCAGAGCAACGCACGACAAGCGAGGAAACTCTATCACCAACCCTGATGCATTAGCCACCACTAGGAGCCCCTTGAAATTGCTTGAATCCCTTTTGCTGCCATCGCCGAGTCTGAGCTCAGGTCCATCCTCAGTGTGGCCAGCGAATGGGAGGTGTGCACAGGAGGATCAGCTCACACAGCGTTGGGTTTGAAGTGTTTGAGGACGGCTGTCGCGAGGTTCAGGGGGCGTAAGCGACTGTTTCATGCGTTCGTCCACTCTCCCGTGCGCACCCAATCGAGTCCAGCAGTTCGGAGGATCTCACGAATCAGCACCAGCATCATACCGCCTGGATTCGAGGCTGCTGCAAGGAACGTGCAGTAGATTTACGACAAAGTATTTGTACGAAAGGTACTTTGTTGAGGAGTTGAGATCTCAATCTGCAATGAACGTATGGACTCTCATATCTTGGGAGGAATTACATTTAGGGTTTTCGAAAGCCTCAGCTATTGTTTACTGTTTATTGTTCTAGACGCGGCACCGTCCCGACAATTCCTCGCGCAATCAAATCTACGAATTTCGGGGACGGCTCGCCGCAGATATAAATTTGGTGCCTTGCATGCAGCAAAGTGGTGACTTGTCACGTACATAAACCTAACTTGAGTACTTTAAAGCCCAACCACTGATTTGCCTTGGTTGAATCCTGTCCTGTCGATCATAACTTAATCGTAAAACCAACAATCCAAAGCCCAACACCAGTCGATCCAGCAGCTCGTTGCGACAGCATTAACGTACTTCATGCCTCAACCATAGGTGTCAAGGCGACAACCCCCAAAGACGGAAAGTATAGAGTACATATTTAGAACGCCTCGACTCCATTTAACCACGTTGGTTGATCCTCCGTCAGCCATTTTCGCTCTTTCAGGAATGTCATTGCGACTCCTCGATACTCCCATAAACTTTTAGATTTTGGTTCCATGCAGGAAGATGCAGAATTGATGATGAGAAACTACAGGCCACGAATTTTCTAGCTTCATTTAAGTTCTCCGAGAAGTAGATTACGGTCTGATGATCCGGTGAGGACTAAGCATGGGGTAAGTAGGCTAAATGAATAGTGTGAATTCCGACACTTACTGATAGGATCTGAAGATGGCGACAATTCTGCACAGTTGACCGTTCCTTTATGGCCTGGTAATTTATACAGCATTTTCCCGTTCTGGGAATTCCAGACTACTGCAGTACCGTCGCCTGCACCAGCTGCAATCTTCTTGCCATCAGAGTCCCAGCTAGCCTTGATAAGATTCTTCTCCATTCCTGAGGGAGCTCCATCGAATGTCCGAATGTGTCGTTCAGTTGGCGCAAAAGGTCGAATATCCCATGTTCGTACGGTTGAATCCATTGAGTTCGAAAGAAGCGATTGAGAGTCTGGGGAAATGCGTAGGGAAGTGATAGTATCATGATGGCCATACATCGAATAAACAACAGCCTTCCTCCTCATATCCCATACTTTGATATCATTATCAATTCCACCAGAATAGATCTCATTCCCCGCCTCAGCCAACGCAACAGCTGTTACTGGAAATTCCGTCTCGATAAAGTCCACTGCGTTCTTCGTCCGAGGATCCCATATTCCGATATATCCATCGTCAGATCCACTGATGAGCAGCTCTTCTCCTCGTTTGCTGATGTCCATGGTGTTTATAACCTCTTCATGTCCAACATGTCTCCTAATCCTAGATCCTGTTTCCAAATCCCAACTCGCAAGGTGCATGTCCGCAGATGCTGAAAACAATACTCTCGAGTCGCGCGACCAATGTAAATCAAGAATCGCTCCCTTGTGACCATTCAAAACACCATAGTTCTCGCAGGCCCCAAAGGTTCTCCATAGTACTACCCAACGTTAGAACTTATCCCTAATCGACAACAACTTCACTCTTACATATTGACCTATCCATAGACCCCGAAGCAATGAAATTCCCATTCGGATCAAACTTCGCGCAAAACACCTCTCCAGTATGCCCACTCAACTCCATGACAGGAGCTTGAAGCCCCGTCGTCCTTGGTCCCTATTCCACCATAATCAGTCCACGACCTTTTGACGAAGCTTAGCATCCTGCACTAGCATAACTCTCAATTGTACATACCGCTTGAACCAGGGCGCCATTTGCTGCTGAACCATTAACTCGTGTAACAGCCTTGCTCTCACCACCAAGATTCGGCCTCTTCACCACCATCTGCGTTGAACGGAAGTCATCGGAACCAGCGCGCGCACGCTTTTCTGTCGACATGATTGCTGATTTGGGTGACAATTGGGTTTCAGGCGTCGCGACTCTGATATAGACTGCTTATAGTTGAAATGATGGGAAAATAATTCGCGATTCAACTCTTGACCGCGGCAGCTCCTAGCCGCCGCGATTTACCCGACAGCATTTCATGGCCTTGCAGCAGCAAGTCAACAAGAACCACTCCACAAATACATAGAAGATTGCAAGCAGCCATACAATTATGGCCACCGCAACGAAAGCTGCGCGGGTAGGGGAGGAGTAAGGAATCACTCAAACCCCAAGCAAAGTTCCCAAAGCTAACCATATACAGAGTATGGAAGTAAGTCATCAACTCGATCATCCACTCCCAAAGCTCATCCCCCAACCAGGAGTCGAGTCGACAAAGTCAATGCCGAACTGGTAACCCTCACCTACGGCACGATCGTCGCTCAGCTATGTAAAGACTACGAGAGCGATTATGTGGAGGTCAACAAGCAGCTGGACAAGATGGGCTACAACATCGGCCTCCGCTTAATAGAAGACTACCTTGCGAAGTCAAATACCATGCGTCGCTGTGCGAATTTCCGCGAGACGGCTGAGATGATCGCTAAGGTCTACCCTCCCTTCACATGCCCTTAAGCATGAGACTGAATTTCGTACAGGTCGGATTCAAAATCTTCCTAAACATCACGCCAACAATCACGAATTGGACAACGGACAGCAAACAATTCTCTCTGATATTCGAGGAGAACCCGCTCGCCGATTTCGTAGAGTTACCGGATGATGGACGCGCGCAAGAGGAGCTGTGGTATTCGAATATCTTCTGCGGGGTGTTGAGGGGCGCGTTGGAGATGGTGCAGATGCAGGTTGAGGCGCATTTTATCAGTGATATATTACGGGGGAATGATTCGACGGAGATGCGGATTTCGTTGATTAGGTATATTGATGATGAGATGCCGGCTGATGATGAGTAGATTATTGCATGGGTTGGAGTTTGGGTGTTTAAGTGGGGATATCAATGGATTTGCTTTGGACTGAAGATTGAGAGGTTGGTTGAGGCGTGGTTGGTGAGTGAGTGATGGGCATGAGCTCTAGAAGACTCAGTTTCTGCTGGAACGTCTCATAGTTGAAAACACTAAGACTCCTGGCCTTAATGAGCTAATGAAAGATTGTCAGGTAACCCGATATTGCTCCAAGTTCACTATTTCGTTATACCTCAACCATCTCCCCAAGTCAACACCGAGAATCAATACCGTTCGTCTCCTGTCATGTGCTCATTTACCTACTCTCTCACACAAACACCATGATCTCAACACAGCATTCCTCATCTCTTATTCCCTTCCCAAATCGCGTCACCATATCCTCAACCCAGCTTCCTAAAACCCTATACACCTTCATTTCTTCATGTCCCATCCACTCTCACTTCGCCCATTCAATTCCCACCCTTATTAAATCCATGTCGGCAGGACGGACCACGTGTCTTGCAATTGTCTTGTGTTACAGAGGCGGGGGATAAGGTTGTCTTAGACATGCAGCGATAGGCAATGGGTTATGTCACTGCAATTTTTATCTTCTCGGTTTTTGATATTGTTGAACTGGATCTGTGAACGGCCTAGGGGTTTAGTTTGAGGTTCTTATACTGGTTGGTATGTAGTTATGGGGTGTCTGGAAGTGCTGGCTTGGATAGACGTTGGGATAGAGTTGTGAGACAATGGTTATATGGTTCAGCAGATGTGATTTTCCTTATTGTATTGTCAGCATCTTCAATAGAGCTACCTCTCATGGTCGTCGAACAAGCTCTACTGAACTTTTGTGATTGTCTCCTGGGACGAGAGCTAGAGGACTTCCAAGTTAATTGGTTCAGTTCGGACTGATTCAGCTAAGATATATATTGTTAGAGGAACGACTTACCTTTTTTCCCACTCTGATCCAGTTTCTTGGTATTGTGCATTCCATTTCTCAGCACTTAACCTTTAATTCTGACTACATGAGAAAATTTCACTACATCTTGTATTCTCAATCGAGCAATCGTGACGTCTCGCTTGTCATTTTAAATGCCTATAAATCTCATAATCCATTCGCTGCGTGAAATGAATGTTTCACACGGTAAGAAATACCGAAGGATTATGACACGATATTCTCCTGAGTATCTTTAACCCGTCGTCACACATGATGATGCTCTCAACTCAGACAACTGACGTGACGCTCGGGCTGGTTCCAAATTCAACTCTACCTTACATCATAGACCACCAAATCATTCAACTACCTTTCCCCTAAATGACCAAACCCAACTTTTAGTCCTCTCACGATCGCAAGATGAAAATTTAATCTGTAAATCAACCCACTCTCCCCTTTTTCGCATTTTCAAAGACTCAGCTTTCATCCTTTGAACGTTGGTTGTTGGACCAACATTGCTTGCCCTCGCCCCACACGGGGACCCTTATCTGAAATACACATCACGTGATCACAGACGACCCCCTAAAACTTTTACAGTTCTGAGGTCATATCTCTCGACCACAGTGAAATTTACATCGTCAAGGCCAAATCTGGCAACCGAAGAGTCGAAATTACCGAATACCACATCCAGCATATATCGCCTGGCCGCTTTCTCGGCGTCAGATCACCGGTGGGTTCGACTTTCTCCCCAGTGTGTGACTGCGATCGTTCGCCTCTTTAACCGTTCGATAGAGAGAGGAAGGCCGGACTTTATGTAGCAGCATCAAGAGTCAATAATACAACTTGTATATCCGTTATATCGATAGAATAAAGATTCCTCATCATACCCGATGAATCAGCTTCAAAATCGACCGCCGTGGCGATATCTTCGTGTTAATTGGAATTGTCATCTTCACTCCCTTTCGCCTATAGAAATCGAGAAGGCAGGAAGCGCACGTAAAGCGGCCATCACGCTAAGCCTCCAAGTAGTCTAGCTCCAGTACTGGCTGTACACCTGGGATCAGAACTACAGCTTTTTCTTTCATATCTCATGGAAGGAATCCGGCCTCTGTGTTTAAATATTTTTATTTGGAGGTGCATGTACGAGACCGACTTTCTGTTTGTTTACCCCCCCTCTTTCTTCGCCAAAATCGTCTCTTTGTGGTCGGGATTCTGATATCTCGTTCTGCGTGGCGTCCGCTGGCTGCCCTGAGATCACTCGCAGCAGAAAGCACGTCGCTCGTTCTCTTCCCCTGTGCTGCCCGCCCACTGCTCTCCACGGTCCACGGTCCACGGTCCACGGTCCCAGCTCCATCAGCAAGCAGCAGCCTCGTCGGAGGTCTGGATTATCCGCCGCCGTGCTGAGAAATACCGTGCTATCGGACATTCTACGGGTCACTCTGGTCACTCTGGTCACTCCACTTCCCAGCAGCACCACCTGGGCAAGCCATTTCGTCCATCCGCATCCTCGTCTCGTTCTGTCGCCCCCCCTAGAAAGTTACCTACCGTCCGTTCAATATCGATCAGTCTGCGAGTGGCATACGGCTCGACGCTCGACGCTCTACGGCCGCATCTCACCACCACGACAACCACGAAGTTCGCTCTCCTCACCAGCGAACCCTCTCCCAACGCATACCGCGACGAGCCCAACTCGACACTGTCCAGGATCCTGGTCCCCCAACTGCGTGGACCATCGCAGGCCGACCTTCGAAAGCTGGCAGCTGTCCGGCTCTCCGCACGCGCAGTCACGACTCCTTCCACACCTCATAATTCATCTTAGATTCGACGACGCAAAACTCACGTCCTCGAGAACGCTCCGGCTCGAATTGTCCCTCACTCTCGCTTGACGCACTCACGCGCCGCTCCGATCGCATTTACTTTTTCGCTCCATCATCGCGGACTAACACGACAAAGACGCATCCAACCACCCTGCCGCATCGCGAACACCTGCGACCAAAAAACATCTGCACTCGCATTGATATATCTATCCTGGCGCATTATTCTTCATCGGGATAGTGTCGCCTACTGCCTTGTCGGCCTCAACTTTTCTCGCCGTGTACAATTTGGGGAATCGACCAAGTGTTGCGACACTCGGCTCTAACCGCTTCGCGTCAGAGGGTGTGCGGTGGCTGACGGACGTGAAGATCATCCACAACGTCGACTTGAAGCCGAAAGACTGGAAAAGGAACGTCGCGACCGCGATCCGCAATCATGAACCAGAACAATATGGGAGGCATGAACCCAATGGGCGGTGGACCCGTTGGAGGTGGAATGCCTATGATGAACAATGGAGCTGGAGCTCGACCTCCGCTTCAAGCGAACATGGCTGATCAACGAGCGCAACTTAACACATATATATACGAGTACTTCCTAAAGAATAACATGTACGACTGCGCAAGGTCGCTAGTGGCCAGCGATCAGCCAATTAATGTACAAAATAAAAGCCCCGGCCAAAATGGCGACGATGGGGGAGATGGCTCCTCCAAAGGCGATGATCCAAAAAGACACGACGACCTGCCAACACCAAACCTGCCAACCGACTGCGAAGATAGCTGCTTCTTGTACGAGTGGTGGTGTCTTTTCTGGGACATGTTTAATGCGCAACGCGGTAAAGGAGAGAGGCAATCGGTCATGGCCTATGTTAACCACACTCAAGTAAGTTCCCCTCTGCCACTCTTTTGTAATTTCGTAACTGACCATGCACAGAATCAATCCCGTCAGAGACAGGAGCAGCAGGCTCAGGTTCTCCGCAACATGAGAAACGATGTCGCGCCACAAAACTACCAACAAATGATGATGAGGCCCGGACCAAATGGGATGTCTCTTCAGCAGCAAGAGCTCCGCAAGAACGCAATAATGGCGAATAGACAACAGAACATGTAAGACTACTTTTCGAAGTAACCATTGGATTTGTAAACGATTCTAACTGCTGCATAGAACCCCGCAGCACGCCCAAATGCTAGCTCAGCAACAAAAGGCAAACCAAATGCAGCGGGTCCCGTCGGATGGTAATAACCAGCGACCACAGTCTCCCGGATCCGCAGAGAATGCCCCATCACCATCGAAGAAACCCCGCCTCGATGCTGCCGCGTTCAACCCACAGCAGGGAATGCCAAATGGAAGAGGACAAATGCAGGGAATGCCCCAACAGCAGGTGGGAGATACTGGCCCCAGCAATGCTATTCAAGCCGCTCATATGCAGCTTGCCAATGGTATCGAGCCAAACAATCTAACAGGTCAGCAGTTTCAGGTCCCCGGCGGCGCGAATCCCGCCCAACAGGCGAGGTTAGCTGGATACCAGGCCGGTTTGGCGCAACAGCAAGCTGGTCAAATGCCAAATAAACCCATGCCTAACCAAGGAGGTCCACCAAACCAAGGCTCGCCGATGATGGCACAAGGTCCCGCAGACGGAAATCTCGCAAATTATTACAACCCTACCGATATGGGTGCAAATGGCATGAGAGGACCAGCAGGAGCTCAAGGAGCCGGTACAGGCAACCACGCGTTGCAGGACTACCAAATGCAGTTGATGTTGCTTGAGCAGCAAAATAAGAAACGGCTCATGATGGCACGGCAAGAGCAAGATAGTATGACGTTGCCTCGAGGCGCTGATGGTGCACCGGGTGCACAACCAATGGGACCAAATGGACAGCCATTCCAAGGTGCTTCACCTGGAGCTCGCAACTCACCTAACCCTACAGATGCGATCAAGCGGACTCCTCACATGAACCCTGGAAGTATCCCATCTCCAATACCTGACGGACAAAACAGAGGATCACCTGGCTCGATGAACTTTAATAATATGCCTGGCAACCCAATGGATCCCAACAACATGAATCCAAAGTTCTACCAGATGAATGGAGGAATGGATCCGAATATGGTCGCGGCGAATATGCAAAACGGCATGCGTCCACCAAGTTCTCATCCTGGAGGCTTTAACCCATTAGCTCAACAACAGATGCAAATGCAACAGGCACAGCGACAACAAGTCGCGGTCGCTCAACAGCAAGCTCAGCAACAACAAGCTAATGGTCAGAACTGGGTAGGTCCAAATGGCCAACAAATGGTAAGCCAGCCTAGTCAAGGAGCCCCTCAGCAAAATATTGGTACACCGAGACAACAGAACCAAATGCCGCCTCCGTCCGCTCCAGCTGGAGCAGTTGCAAATGGTAGAACCCAACCATCATCTCCACAAAGTGTTGCGGCGCCTCCAACACCGAACCAGGCGAATAAGGCAAATCCAAAGAAGAAGCCAGATGCGAAGGATACTAAAGCAAAGGTATATTATATTGCGTTTAAATGGATTTTTTGTAGAAATGTTGACATTGATGATAGCGCGCTACAAAGAAGGGATCCGCTGCAAACCTCAATGCTGGTGCTACACCGTCCGCCGATGCTCCAACCGATGGACCAACTCCTACGCCTCAGACCCCGATCACTCCTAGCCATAACAAGTTTGGTGGCCAGAATGGTGCTGTACAACCTCCGACGAACGGTCAACCTCCTGCTCCTCCCGCGAACCCCGGTTTAGCTGTTGCTCAACAACAACCCGAACAAATGCCCAACTTTGGTGGAATGAATGATTATGTAAGTTGGATTCTGGATGATTGATCAGTATTAAGCTAACAAGACTAGGCATACGATGGTCAGCTCGCATTCTCCGATCCAGTTAATGGAAATATGGATGTTCTCCAGGATTTCGATTTTGACTCCTTCCTTCATCAAGATGGTGATGTCGGAGACAACTTCCAATTTGACAACTTTGCTATGGATGATGGTGGCCAAATTGGGGCGGAATAAACCGTTCGACCTCTTTAGAGCAAAGTCTGCAATTTTCCGGCGTTTTCGAGCATACCTCATGGCGTTTGAGCGGAATCATCATCACCATCAGGGGTCACCTTATTTCCGGGGTTCACATATTATTCATTGTTCATGCGAAAAGAAAGTTCGGGTCACTTTATTGCCTGCAGACGAATAGAAGGGGGGGTTCGGTGGTGTTTGCGAATCATCATTCCAATGTCTCAAAAAATTCATCCTCTTTATATATCACATACACTTTTTATTTTCTGTTACGCTAGTTCTCGCGCGCGCGAATTGGATATGGGTGGGGGTATTAGTCGGCGATCACGTTTTTGGGGGCTTATTGTGTGATCTCGATGGGTACTTTTTTTTTCTTTTATGTTTATGTGTTATTGTGGCGATGATATTAAAAAACTCCCATATCGTGTCTAATAGTTTTTTGGGGGATGAATGGATGGATAGGGTTATCGTCTACTCCTTCTGCTGTCGCACTCCCCCCCTCCCTTGTTCTGAACGCATCTGTACCCTAGTCTTTGAGAAGAGAGAAAGATCTGGTTCGTGCTGAGGTGCTGAGATATTGGGGATCCGGCAGATGAGATGTTCTCTAGGATTGGATGGCGGGGATTAGGAGAAACGTGACGTGATTCGCGGCTTTGGGTGGTGTTTGAAATGGCAAATTTAACTTTTTTTAATTGGAGTGTATTACCTTGGGGTTTTTGTGGTTAAGGCGAGGTGTAGGTACGCGGTCATCTCATATCCGGAATCGTTAATTGCGCGGGTTAGGTTTATATTTGGTTGGTTTTTTGTTTTTTATGTTGTGGTGGGGAGGAAGAGGGGGGAAAGGGAAGGTCCTTTGTTTGTATCTATCTAGGTTAGCGTTATCTCATCTGTTCATCCATTTATCGTCGTCATCGTCGTCCCAGATATCTAGATCCCCATTCGTCATTTGTGTGGGGTTTCCTACCATTGAAAGGTACGTGAGGTTTGTTGGTTTTTAGCGGCCCGGAAGCGTTGGAAGTTGGGAGGGGGGGTTTGTTTTTCTCTATGTGGGGATTGTAAGGGGAGATTGTAAGGGAGAGATGCCAGCGAGCTTTTGGGGAAAAGTAGGGATTGTTAGATGAGGCAATGAATGATATACCTTCTAGGTTGTGGGCTGGTCTTCGATTCGGGCTTTAGGAACGACAATCCTCGCTAGATAAGCTCCGATTGATGCGATTAAGTATGACTATGTTTTTGGGATTACCATGTTATCGATCCCCTTCCGTGCATATATCCTTCGCATGCCGATATTTGTTTACTAGAAGCGACACTTGAAGATAACCCTGCAAACCAAAGTAAACGTTCCCTGCCTAAACCTCTTATAATTGATAGAAGGGAAGAAGAGGCGGCAGATACTAGGTTGGTGGGGAATCGCGTTCTGGGTAATGTGATATACGGTCGAGAGGGCGTTGATCTCGAGTTTAGAGAAGTGTTCACGGAATACGGTGTGCGAATTAAATTCTTGAGCATGATTGGGTTTACAAAATTAGTAAGTTAGGGGTTGAATTGTTCAAAGACACTAGAGCTGGTGTCTGTTAAACGATGTCGTAGCGCAGCCTCGTGCGTGCATACCTGACAGCGAAAATCCCCCGTTCGACCAACATCCGGGGCTCGTCGAACTTTGGAGCATCCATGTCTCGGCAGCGGGAGGATCTGTTTAAACATCAACGTAATGTGACGGGATAGAGTCGCTGCATCGTTTGAAGGTATTCTCTCATGTTGAAGAGGTCTGGACGTTAGTCAGAGAAGCGTGGATGATTCGCAATGTAGAGTCTCACATTGCGGTCTCCCAGCCGAGACGCATCTGCGGGTTTTAAAGTAAGTAGTTGCATGTACGGAATTCTGCCGTTGTATCGTGCTGATTTCTACCTTTTCTTACCGTGCGGGTTCGAGAGTTGCTTGATCGTGTCGGAATCCTAGGTGTATAACCTGATTCTCTTTGACGTCAGCATAGATAGCCGACGGACTATTATATTTTACCGTAATGCTTAGCTGTTTGATACACTTTTGTGCAGCTTTGTTCTACTAAGTCGTAGCTAATATCCTTAGATAGATACAAATTGCCTAAGGACGTTTAGTTCTAGGAGAATACGAAGCCGAACAAGAGCTAACTCACGTGGTTAAGTCTATAAAGCTTATTCGTAGGATGATACATACGGGAGCTATCACCAAGGGCCTTATTTGCGTCAGTATGTGTAATCTTGATTCCCAATTCATCTTCTAGAAGTTCCAGAGCTATTCGAGATCTACTTTCAAAGTCCATGATCTGACAGAATGGCGAATCTTCTTGTATATACGTTATGTAGCTGGTTCGTTCCTGTTGACCTGCAAATCCTGACGGATCTACAGAACATGTTGAATGACACCGCCGCATTAGTAATACACGGAAAGACATTACAGAGGTTATGCGGCTGAGATGTGACCAGAAAGAGCTCAAACCGGCTTTGTGAGCTTTTGTTTTCTGGTGAGTGCTGTATTTAATCGTGGAAATGTGTCTGATTGATGCTAGGGTCGATGTCAACGTATCCTGTACACTCGACGCTGAACCTCTAGTCCCCGTACCGACACTGAACATCTCTGCCTCGTGTAAGCCTGGCACGCAAAGGATATGTACAACCTGGAGGACCATGCCTCCAAATGACTTCGATTTGATTGAGATTTCTCCCAAGTTGCTGACTTTAGCGTGGAACTGAATTCCAAGCTCCATGGTGCCGACGCAAATCAGAAATTTCAATGGACTAGTTTGTTAGGGTGTTTATGCTATGAACTGTTGAATATGCAGAGACATTTTGAAGGCGAACCATGGGGATTCATCGGGGAAGCATGTCGTCTTGGTCTTCTACTTTTGTGCTCCCTCCGGTGCGTCGTTATTTTGCCGTGGCATGTTTTACGACGGCAATGCAATCAGAGAAGCCTACTATCGTTGTAAGCGACCGACGCGCTGATTGGAAGGGCTTACATTGAATCATTGCAATGGGAATGTTGGATGTTGGATCCAGCAGCATTTTGAAGTGGTGGATACCTATTGCTCTGGACACCCCAAGAGATAAATGAAGCACCGCGTTCATGGCAGGAATTGCGCAAAATGCCATTGGTATCATGGCTAGATGATGTTTATGGAAAAATGTTTGAGAAAGTGCAGGTGGATGTTAGAAAGTTGGTGGATACCGCGACTGACAACAGTAGTCAGCAGAACACAAAGTATTAAAGGTGTTAGATTGAGTTGAGTATTAGTACCTACCTAGCTCACACTCAACTCAACTTAAAGCAACTCACGAATAGCTTAGGTAGATTGAATGCCGCTACAAACGGGACGTGTAGCCGATCGAATAGCCAGCAGCTGAAGCCGTCCCCCTATATCATCAGCTAATCCGCACCTTTACAATCTTGAAAAATCTTCTAGGAGATAGATTCAACGAAATCTGGAAGGCATCCAAGAGCACGCAATCGAGGGTTTCGGCGATATTGACCTTAGAGGAGGCGTGAACAGCACAACAACGACACTTCCTTTAATAAACGGTACGACCCACATTATTCTGCCAGTTAGGGAGTTTACGAGTGCGCTGGTGCGCACGTACTTAATGTATACAATTTTGGGTGTGACGGTGGTTGCATACATTTCTTTAATGGGCTTTCTAGCGGATCATCGTTCAGGCAGTATGCAGCGGATCCATATCCGTCCGCAGACATCTATAGAGATGTTTCCTAAGTAAGTCGGTCGTCAACACCTGGGAGTAGGAGGATCTAACACATTGGTGTGCACAAATGCGGATTGCGGTAGACTCTTGGAGTCCGGGTTTTCAGGGTGTGATCGTCAAAATCCTGGATTTCGACGGACATATTTGGTCGTCGAACAACAAATAGCTGTTATGACTTTGTTCCTTTCAGTGCGGTTGTAATTTGTGGCATTCGAAATTCTGGGTTTTACCTTGTCTTTCCGCCCTTGTAACCTGAATAAGAACGCAAATGCTGTCAAGTTTAGCAATACACCCACCGAAGCAATGTTGCTATATTACATTAGTGATCAAAGATGTCCATCTGCTAGTCCAACGAGTATGAACGCAAGTGCAGACTAATCTTTTTAATTGCGGGAATGATAATAACTGAAGATACTGACGTCTCCCAGCCAACATGATCAGTGATGCAATCGAGAGTTACCAAATGAGCATATTGATCCAATGATCCTTAATCTTGGAGAGATATAGCATCTTGATAGTCACTGTGCTATGCGTTATGTAGTGATTGATGAAAATGACCACAGGGAAGGTTTAATCACATATAGGCTTTAACACCTGCTACCTGTACCGACGCTGACCAAACAAACTAAGTAGAATCTTAAGAGAATAAAGATATTAGCCACTTCAGCAAATTCATTCGCTCAGATGAAGATATCAGCCACTCAGTCAACTCCGTGTCGGAAATATGGAGCTTCAACATCCATCCACGCAGCTTTCACGCCATGTTTTGCCTCGCGCTGTGCGTGGACTTCCTCTACCCACTCATCTGTGAATAATTCATCTTCGATTTCTTCTGTTGGCAGCGCCGCTCTGGCCAATACAGCCCATTCTATATCTATTGTTCGCGAACGATACGAGTCCGATGCTGCGGACTCGTGACGGCACATCCCGTCTGGAGGCGGGTATTGAAGCTCGTATCTGGGTGATTTGAAGCCTGTTTTGTCTTCTTCGAGGCTGGCTTCGTAGAGCATTTTCACGTACTGTCTGTATCGTTTTCGGCTCTCTTGGACTTCCTGTGTCGACGTTGAAGAGATGATATTCGCAATCCGGACTTTTGGTATTCTAGGACTAATATTGTTGTTGATGGTCCCTGGTTCCGAGGTACTCCAACCGGTGTCGTCAATATTTGCTTGGTAACGCCGAGCGATCTTCTCATAACAGTCGTTCATTTCGGAAGGGTAGTATTGCTCATAAGTTCGAATATCGTAAGATATCCCATTCCTAGGCTTCCATTTTGGAAGCCAACCAATGTAGTGACCCCAATTATCTTCTAGTGCAGTATCAATCACCATGCAATCACACGGGTTCCCATCACCCCAATAAATATCTTTCCGCTCAAATTTTTCTACTTGAGACACGTGCAGATGTCGCGGTGGATCCCGGTTGCCATCTGTGATGATAACAAGCTCTTGTAGGGTTTTAAACCTTCGAAGGAGAGGTATCCACCATGACACAAACTCATTGGCACGTCGAGCCGGAAGATTCCCGGGATACGACACCAAGAAGTCTAATGGTACGGCGATTTTCTTAACCAGCTCGAGATCATCCGAAGAGAGCTGTCCTACCACTCCTTTTAGATCCTCGGGGTAGAGCCCACTTCCAATTTCGAAGACCTCCTGGATTTCACCAACATAATTCGGGGGCAAATAAAGAATATCTTTAGAATGGTTGTACCAAGTCATGGCGGGTTGCGTGCGAGTTTTGAATGCAAGAGCGTATCCGAAACGTTGATACAAAGACCGCGTTTCTCGACAAACATGAAGTGCCACTGGTATCGCATTCGGGCTCCAGATCCCAGATCCACGAGTGTTCTCCCACTTGGTGATCCAGTCCTGCTTAATTTTTTCTTTCGTGGGCTTTTCAGGTTGAGGAACAGATGAAGTGAACCCATAATCTGCGAGTTGGGCTTGACCGTGGCCTGTCCAGATGTGATAATCATTTCCATATTTGACTGGCAGAGCTTCGTCAATGTACGGGCAGTAGGTATCTTCTTGAACCGCTAGATCTAGGCTGTCGCAATCGGATGCCTTATCTGGCCAGTAACCAACATCTCTCATATCACCGAGCTCGGTCAATTTTTCTCGAATATGGACAATGCGTTGGTGAGTTGGACAGACTAGGAGCCATATCTTAATACGAAGCTCTGCAGGTAATTTAGGGAACAAATTGAATGAGGTGACGGGTTCCATTTTTGGGACTCTGGTTGAGATGGGTGAAGTTGAGGAGAGTGAGATGACAAGGACTGAAGGTTAGGTCGGAGTGACATTGAGCGCGCACGGTCACTCTATGTCAGCAAGGGACATGATTGGCCAAGAGCAGGCAGTTGGAATTAAGCGATATCATGACTTCTCTACAAGTAAACAAGGGGTAAATAAATGTTGGTATTTGACTGGAATCATTGTGTCAATCAGTATTTCAAAAAGGCGAGAAATTCGGGATAGCTTATGTTGAACAGCTGAATGTCCAATTATTGAATTTGGACAGAACTAACTTCCCCTGACAAACGCTCTAGTATTGTATGACAAGAGATAGGCTGTATTCGTGATCCATAAGTCTTCTTATAATCGACGCCTTTTGTTAGTGTTAGATGTGATGATAATAGTATTTTGCAAAAAGAGTGTGTGGGTAAAGCCATTAAAAGTCAGAAGTGAGCCTCACAATTTCTGGCACACAAAATATGCCAATTACTTAAGCGAGTCAGCGACAACGTCTTGTCCATAATACGTATTTTCAATTCGAGGGCAGTTTTTATCAAAGTTGAAGAAGGACTGGCACAAGTTTGTTATGCTATATGCCGTTTTGGATTGCTTTCATAGTTTTCGACTCAAACATCCATTTACGACACAACAAGCGAAGGCTTGATGTGTCGAAATACTGTCAACAATTTCCGTTGACGACTTTCCTAAGACCATTGAATTATGGTTTCTGGCTTGAAACGAGGTGTGGTACATGATGTGAGCCACAAGTTGCCACGGAACTTTCCGTCCCGTCTCTTGGAATGTTGATGGCTTGCATATTTTTCTGTGTCACAACGCCTCAATACGACGGCAGAGACACTTACTTAAATCCGTACGGAGGTATCGTGAAGTCCGTCCAAGAGCCGGTATACTACTTGTGATTTGTCTAGAAGCTTATTAGTTCTTGTTTGTGTAAGGCCGAAAGCTTGAGTTTTTTGAAGATCGTAACTGATATGGTGGAAATGGCTTGGTTTTGTTGGCCTAATTCTTAAAGACTCCAAACATGGAACTAGAATTGGCTCGCAATGGAGAATTTGTTGAATGCAATGGTGGAGGATTGAGACAATAGCATGAGTTTTATGGTTTACATGAAGAAGTATAAGTACATGGACTAGACTCCTTTCCAATAAGCTCAATCATTACTTCAACTCCCAAGTTCTAAAATATCGAATCAAGCATTCTACTTTAGTCCCCCATTATTTCAAGATGCACTTCCAAATCCTCACAACCTCCTTTCTTCTTCCCCACGTCTTGGGAGCAGCAGTCGTTTTAAAACAAAACAACATCCTGCCTCGAGTAGTCCCAACCTCAACCTTCCATACCACAATCGCATCTTCAAGCTACACATCACCCATCATACCAACTTCAACAATCCACACAGCAACCACAAATTCTCACAGCAGCACGACAATAACCTCTCTCAGCACCTTCAAAACATCCACATCCTCTTCAACATCCCTCTTTACCACAACAAGCTACACAACAATAACCTGTGCCCGACCCACATCTTCCGCTCTTGCAACCATCTCCCCAACGTCGTCCGCGAATAACACCTTGACAGACAGCAAGTTTCCCTTCCACTTACAATTATCATCTAACAAGCTTAGTCTTTGAGGTAATAACTCCAATCTACTGCGACGTAATCTGTGGCATATCTGCCGGTGCGATCTGTTTTATCATAAATCCTTGGGCTCCTGTCGTTGATTGGGCTACTGTGTTGGTGTTTTTGAAAGTCGAGTCTATGACTGTGAGTACTTCAATCTATTGTGGAAGGCAAAGATATTGTAGGTGCTAACGATGATTTTAGTTCTGTCCGTGTATGAAATGTTTAGGTATTGTGAACGTTGCGCAAGAGCATGGATTTTGTAAGTGAGGTATGGCGGTAGGGCGGTTGGATAAGGAGGGTTTCGTAAGGGTTGAGGATTGAAAGTTTGGTAAGGATGGTGAAATGAAAGGTAGAATTCATGCCTCTGTTAAATTTAGATAAATTGTTGGAATCTTATGACTCAGCTGCTGGTGCTTGTCGTGGAGAAAAGGTTTTGCTACAGAAGTATATGTCAGCCAGTTTGGAGAATAAGTCCAAGTTCCACATTCCACTCTGCTTCCACAGTTTTCAACTCCAATCTTTCTTACTTCCGCTCGTTTAAGAGGTAGTCACCTTGATATGTAAACACACCAAATCAAGCCATGTATTATGCCCTCGCTTAAATATGCAACACAGCCACCACAGCTCTGCCTTGCAGGTCAGCCCCGACGACCAGTACCAGCCTTAAAGCCATCATGAAGTTTCTTTGAATGGAACTCACTCGTTTAGTGTTGGAATTTCATTAATTCTCAAAGTTTCTCGAGTTTCTCTCGTTACCAAAATGTCCACAACAGACCCCGAAACCCGATCTGTGACCGAACTTGCTCTACGAACAATCACGACACAGATATTTGCACTCGCAAGCTACGGAAATCTTTGCAGCCTGCTCAATCTACCCAAGAACCAGCACGTTCTCTACGTGATCTTGTTTTTCATCTACCCAACGATCATCATCGGCCAGTTAATCCAAGGGTTCTGCTCTGCAATTCACTACGCTTTCGTCCACGGCAGAGGCAGAGGCAGAATCGCAAAGACAGGCTTGGGCTTCTATGTGCAAGGAATGTTTGGGGTGTATATTGAAAGAGAGTATGATGGCTTCTGGGATGATGGTAATAATAAACCTACGTTGTTTAACCTCGGGCATGTTTCAGTCCAGAGTTCCACGCATGCAATTTCATGGAAATGGTTCGGAAGAATGGTCATCTGCAGCATGGCTGTTGCGCAAGCGGTTGGGACCGTGTTTCTATACATACGCCGATTGCATCTCGTGAAAAAGAATGAAAATTGGAGCGAGGGGATTATGATCGACACCCTCAATGGAATTGCGGCATTTTGCAGTGCTTTATCTGGTGTCGTAGCACTTTTGATCCTCGTTTCGAGATTAGAGTGGAAGATCACGAACCGTCCTGTCTCCCTCGGAAGCTACCCTGAATCCACGGATTCGGAATACTCCCACCGCGCTACCATTATTATGCAAGTTCTAATCGCTCTTTCTTGCATTTTGGGGTCTAGGAGTTGCTTTTCACATCTCTGCGAGATTCGCTTTTTGTTTGGCGCAACTTACATATATGTATTTGGGGCTATCATTGTTTTTATGTTAATCATTTGGCGAACCAATTTTATTAAGCTTAATAAGCATATCAAATTTGCTGCTATCTTATTCACTTCTGGAATTTGTCTCGGTCTCTTGTATTCTGAATTTATTGGGAAGCTCATTAGATGTATTTCCGAGTTATCGAGTATGGAAAATGGCGGTTGGAAGGATCCACTCTCCGATAAGCTTTTTGTTATATAGTTCAAAACAAGAAGCTGTAGTGCTCTACTTGCCAACGAGAGATGATTTCGCTGTTATGTCTACTATTGCTATGAAAATTTGCAATTTGAATAATGTGTGTGTACTACGTAACATAAACCATCCCTCTACCAGCTAAAGATAGCTCAGACGTAGTCGCGTTTATAGTCGTGACATCATTAGGTAACCCTTTAAGAGCATAACACCGGTTTTAAAACCTCTAGTGTAGTTAGAAGACACTGTTGTTGTCGTCGTTGCGTACTTTTAACATTACATTTAAAGGCCGAAGTTACTTTGCAATCTGCACATTACTAATAGAGAACAGTGCACAGCATCATGCCAAAAGATTAACTGGTGAGCACAGAAAAGTCTTATTCGAGACCATAATGATTATTAGAAAGAGTACTTGGAAAGAAGAAACCCTTATCTAATCTCGAAGAGGAATACTACCAAATGTTTTTCAAATATTCCCAACTTCAGAACTGTTAACAAAAACGTTAGTTCTTCAGAGTTCCCGCTACACAAGTTATGTAATACTTAGGATTCAAATCAGAGTAGCTAAATTACTTCTAACTCACGCAAAGTCCAAGTGCCATGTTCAGATATTCTTAAATTCTGTGTATCTAATCAGAATACCTACCGAAACATATTTTAATTTAGACCCACTTAACTGACCTCAATTTATATCGAATACTTCTACTTAAAATGTCAATTCTACACATTACCACCCAATAACACATTAAACCGCTCATCGCTCAAACTGCCTGCTAAACAATACAAAACCTCTACTTTCTCTAAATCTTTCAAATTCAGAATCAAAATATAAACTAAGAGAACTACATTCATCTTGACAGCGCCCCATCTGAGAAAATATACTTAATTTAAATCCCATATTTCAATAGTAGATTTTACAAACATATAATACTTTACACATTTTCAGTAATGCGTGACAAAGTATTTCACGAGATGAATAAAGGTGGCTTGGAGTGTGGGAAAATTGTATTGGATCGAGAATCTATACGCTCTAATTAAACAAAAAGTAATAAACAAGCTTTTGAACAATCAGTCTTTGACTTTCCAATCTTCACTCATCCATCCCAATATTCCAAACAACTCCCGCCAACGCCACTTCTGCCACTCACCTCCCCTTGCAACATACTGGCCCAGCTCAGAAGAGTATGGGCCAGGACTGTATCCATGCCAACTCCCCGCCCCCTCAATAACAAATAGATCACAAAATAATATTAAAATTCAGAAGCCAGGATTGTAATTCGTAGGCGCAGATGCGAAACCCGAGGTTTGTTCCGAGTCGCGGTGAGATTGACCACCAGACTCGTATTGTGCTATGTAAATGCGTGGATTTCTGAAGAGCTCTTGATCACTTGGGTTGAGGTGGGCAACACTGGGGCCTGCCTGTTGTACCTGCTGGTGGAATCCCATGGACTGTTGTTCGTTGTAGGACGTTTGCGGTTTGGGCATGGTGGGGTGCTGCTGCCAATGGCCGTCATCCATTCCTGGGGCATTGTTTGGGTACCAGTATTGAGGTTGATGTCCGACAATCCCACTATCTGTTGGGTGTTTTAACTGAGGTGTAGAGGCAGGGTCCAAATCGTTCCATACAGGTCCACCGAGGGACGCCAAGTTACTCGATCCACCAGCTTCAACGTCTGCTGCTGGCATTTGCCAAGCCCATGTATCCTGGTTGTACGAAAAGGCTGCTCCTTCAGGAACTTGGGAATCAACCCAGGCCACTGGTGCGGCATCCGGCGTCGAATTTGTGGGAATTGGACCGTAAAATGCTGGTCTGCAATTTGCAGGGTGATCGTATAGTCCACGATATGGCCCATTGAGGTAGTTCGAATTAGCCTGCCCAGCATCGTCACCACTCGCTCCTAAGTCGTTTGCGCTTAGTTGTGAAAGGTAATTCAACGCGCTCGTCCCAAAACCGTTGAATTGATTACGAGAGTCGACATTATGGTGTTGAGGAGGTGCCAGACCAGTGTTCGACTGTTGTGGGTTTGTAGAAAAAAGTGGCGGTTCTGGTATAAGAGGTGTGAGATCCTTGCCTTCGATCGCCCCGGTGGTGTCGTCGAGACTTGGTTGATCTTTTATAAAAGCACTGCTGCTGCTCGTCGCAAGTTCCGATCCGCTCTCTTCAAGCTCCGACCATATACACTTCGGTCCATGGCGTTTCCTGCCGACATGAGTCTTTAAACCATGGCTCGTATCAAACTCTTTACCGCAACCATCCCACTCGCAGATGTGTCTGGACCCGCCAACCTGACCGCGAACATTTGAAAAAGTCGATTCGCTCTCTTCAAGCTCCGACCATATATCCTTCGGTCTATGGCGGTTCATGCCGACATGAATCTTTAAACCTTGGTTCGTATAAAACTTTTTTCCGCAATCATTCCACTCGCACATGTATTCAGGGCTGTCATCCTCACTGCAAGGCTGCGGATGTGAGCTTAGTGAGTTATAAGCGAGTTCAATCTCCTGCCTTGTACGCTTCTCTCCATGGTTCTTCTTGGTGATATGCGCGTTCAAATTGCCGAGCGTTCCATATCCTTTATCGCATTCTTTCCACACGCAGATGTATTTGGACCTGTCAATCTGACTGCCAGGTCTCCGACGTCTTTGTTGTGGACGAGTAGTACCTGGAGCTACTTGTGCGCCTTTTGGAGTGGAGATATGCTGTGGTAAATTCGGTGTTTGTAGTATGTTACTTGTAGTTGTGGAGGGCTGCTCATCTGCACCTAGGACTGACGGATGCGGATCCGGATCCATATCTGAGAATGACGTTGCGGAAGAGTGAGGTAGGTCTCTAAGACTATAAATTCTTGTAAGTTATCCAGGAAAAAAAGAAAAGAAACGAGCGCGTTGAAACTGAAGATATCCAAGAAAGCTATTCTTCTTCTCCAAAAAGATATTTGTCGAGCTAGCTTCTGTGGAAAAACGGGTGTTCTTCCATGTTTCATGAAATGAAGTTCGTTCTTTCTGAGGTGGGCGGCGAATGGGGACACCTTTGCCCAACGTGCCTTCCCGTCTCACTACTATAAGCTGCGGAGTTCAATGATACCATTCATTAGGCCACGAAACTTGGATGAGTGGAAAGCGAGCTTGAACCTGTTTATTGTACAAACATATGAGGTTATCAAGGTTTGGTAACAATATTCAGTAGGCAGGAGTGAATTTGTATTGTAGTTACCATAAGTCAATAGCTGCGCCGGATCGAACACTTCTGGCCGCGAGGTATGTCCAGTTGAAAGAGACAATGTGTAAATGAGAGCGGGGTGCTTAGATCTGTAAGGGATTAGTAAAAGAGTCATTTTGACCGACTTCACATACCGTTGACAACAATGCCTAATAGGATTTCTACGTCCACATTACCTCTAAGATGGAGCGGCTCTACTTTGTAACCGAGACTCTTCGTCTGCCATGTTGACTTTCCTTTCCTTTGTCTCTCAACACTCTAGCTGAAAGAGGCGACAAAGAGGTTTTTCCTCAGACAAAGAATCTTGATAACAATGCTACACCAACTGCACTTACCAAAATCCTAGAACAGCACAATACTCAACGCATAATCTCTGGTTTGCCTGCAGATTTGACCAAGGTAGGTGGTATGCATCTGCTGAAAATCCTGTATATGTTGTACAATAAATTACGTTCAAATGCCCCGCTCAGCTTTCAATATCTTCCGTTCCTTGACTCTCACCAAATCCTTCCTCCGACATCCGAGGAAAACTATCCGTGTATGGCGTTATGGCAATGAATGCGATGCGTGTGGAGCGGTCCTTGAAATCGCCCCAGATGGTAGAGAGTACTGTATCATCCTCAATTGTGTTAACTGTACTGACAGTCCAATTGGTATGAAAGGGAAATCACATCTGCGCCGCCTCGAGCCCGATGACAGGTTGGAATTTCCCCACGATATCGGGCGCCACAAGCAATGCAGATGCGGACTTTATTATTGGGAAGTCTGCGTCAGATGTGCTCTTTGGGATAAACAAAAGACAGAGAATGCGGCTTGCGCTGAATGTGAGCTTCGAGAGCAAGAGGAGACTGCAAAAGGTAAGACTTTTACTCACGAGATGCGTCAAGCTTCACATAGGTCGGGTCATACTTCTCCACCCAGCTTGATATACACTGTTCCTCACAGCTGGAACTCGGGCCAGACTATCATTGGTCCTCCACAACCACTTTCTCCTCCTTCAAGGATAACGACACCTGAGATTAGAGAGCTCTATCCTGCTAGACCCTTCGAAGGTGCTTTCATGACAGGAGCGCTTCCAGCAGACACCTCGCCAGTGGAGAGAAGCCCTTCGATACCTGTGGCGTTTCCAGAGGACAGCCAGTCAACCATTGAAAGTTTACCAGCACCCGTGCGAGTGCCAGCTGACATTCAGTCGACCATTGGAAGTACACCGAGACGAAAACCATTTCCAGGAAACATCCAGGCGACGATTGCGAGTTCTCGCATACGTGGGCCGTTTCCAGACGATGCTGAGTCAAGCGCTGGAAGTGTACCAGGCCGAACAACCATCTCAGACCTCGAATCGAGTGTTGGGAGCGTCCCAGCACGTACAACCGTCTCAGACCTCCAGTCAACTGTCGGGAGCTTACCGAATTTTGCACGAGATATTCGGCCACCTCCTGGAAGCGTGCCGAGGCGGAGACCTCTGGTAACTGATGCAAACGTACCAAGGCGACGACTCAATCGTCCTGCCAAAATTGCGCGTCCCCGATACATAAACAATACAGGTTGAAGCTCATATTGCTTTTTAACCCGCTAAAAAACCGATAAGTCTAATGAAACATGTGAAAGATGCGATTTATGGTGATGAAAACATAGCAGCTTCTAACATCTAATAAACGTGATTTTGTGCGTGCTAATGAACAGGTGATCACTTGAAACAAAATCCGATGGAATGAAAGTTGAAACAAATGCAGTTGTTGATGAAAATAGTTGTAAGAAAGAAGAAGCGGAATCATATGATTCGGATGATAAAAGCAGGATCGGCCCGGCTCAGACCGGGACCATATGCCGAGAAGTTGCCGCACGCGGGGTAATGGAGACTACAAGGACATATTGAATTTAAATCATATCTTAAGTGTCCCTTGAATTACTCAGATAATTTGGACGTTTTCGCGAGAGTCCATATCATACGTTTGGAGAAATAAGAGACTTTGGGTTTCAAATTGCATCAGTGCCTCGAACCTCTAGCCGTCATGTATGAGTCCAAGATAAATTTCACTCTGGATACGATTTGTCCTTGGTAAGTCAGTTCATTCCTTCTCATATTATTCAAGTTCAATCAAAGTCTCAATATGAGTTGCTTGGGGTAGACATATTTCTTAGCTAACAATTTTATGTAGGACATACTTGGCCAAGCGAAGGTAAGCTGTCCCGAGAACTTTTGTAGTTAGCTGGCTAACAGGTTGTTGAACTAGGCTTGATGCTGGTAAGAACGGTTTTCAGTTCAATAATCCTTGAAAAAGCTTCCTCACGGCACAATGAGCCTTACAAAAGTCGGAAGTCGGAAGCATGAAGTTTTATTGAACTTACCAACTCAAACTTATCCACCACATACATGGACCACTCACAGAAACTAACAAAACCATTAGCTCTCCGAATGATCCAACAAGACCCCGAAGCAGCCAACACAACCCTATCAAACCTCTCCTCCCTGGACCCCTCAGAAATGAAATCCCTCCACGCACCGCACACATCTCCAGTCACAGACCATAGCGGCAAAGTAACCTTCACAATAACCTACCTCCCCTACCTCCTCTACCCAGACGCCCCCACCGAAGGCCGCTCCAAACGCGACTGGTACCGCGCCTCCCGCTACGGCGACACCGACGAGAAATGGACGTCCTACATGATGATCATGACGCAGCACGGCAACGACGCGGGGATTGATTTTGATTTCGGCGGGACAATAGCGAATACGCTGCCTGCGCATCGGGTGTTGCAGTATTTCCAGACGAAGAAGGGGGAGGCAGTGGCGGATAAATTGGTGGTTGCGTTGTATAGGATGTACTTTGAGGAGGCGAGAAGTCCGAGTGCGAGAGAGACGTTGATGGCGGCGTGTAAGGAAGCGGGGATTGAGGAGGGAGAGGCGGAGAGGGTGGTTGGTGATGAGGATGTAGGGTTGGATGAGGTGAAGGAGTCGATTATGGAGCAGAAGGGGAATGGTGTTGATGCTGTGCCGGTTGTGGTTGTTGAGGGGGCGAGGAAAGATGTTACTGTTACAGGTGCGCAGCCTGTTAAGGATTATGTTAAGGCGTTGAGGGAGATTATTAAGTTAGCTTGAGTGTGGTGAGAATTTGGTTCTAGTCTGGGGGAAATTGAATGTAGCAAACAACTTAGCGTTTGTCGACATGACCTGTTAGTCTCAAATTGAGACTTCTCTGATATGTACGTTGCTAAAATGCACAGACTTAAACAAATATGCTGTTATTCCGTTGGAGAAAAAAATACCAAATAATGTGGCAAAAATATTGTTCCCTTCCGTGAATTGAAGTCAGTCAAAACATGACTTGTTGATTTTGGAAATTCACGAGGTGACAACATCTTAAATTTCGAGATCCCTAAATATTCCAGACACCAATTTATTAATTCTCAAGTAGCCTTCCTGAACTTACAAGCAAGTCGGCACAACACATTAAGATGGCGGCAGATGAGATAATGGCAGAAGAACCTCGCCATATCCCAAGGGGAGTGATGTTGGGGGAGAACACATCTAGCACTAAGGATGAGGTCGACATGGCGTCAATAGGCTCAGATTTGGCTGCCGACTTCGACGAATCCAAATGCAATGAGCCTCCAGACTCCCAGATACTTGATACCAGTCCTAAGTCTGATTCGAGGTACGTAGGCATCAACTCGAAGACTTTCAAACTAGGAGGAGATCCAGCCGGACCAGCCTGTCCACGAAAACCAGAAAGTCCAAAGACCAGCCCCCATTCGAAGAAAGCGACGAGACCTTCCAACCAGACCTCTCCCCTCTTCAAAGACGGCATCAAGTTAAAATATCAGCCTCCAGGAGAAGATTCGGTATTCTTGTCCTATCACAACGGTAGCCTCTGTAAGAAAGGCAAAGAGATTCCGAAAACATCCTATATCAAGCCGAAGAAGAAGGAGTATAAGGTACAGAAAGGTCCAGAGATGGAAGCTGGCCAGAAGTTATTAGGGTACTGGGTTCCTCAAATTGAAGAGGGCGCACGACGCATGAAGGATAGGATGGTCGAGTAGTCGTGCCTGGTGACAAGGATTTTCCGGATTATGGTGGTTTGGAGATCGGTCCTGATGATGAACAGTTGGTTTGTTATGGGCCCAGAATCTAGAATCTACCGCTTGGGAGGAGCAGAGAACAAATATCGAACAAGGTGTTTCATGTTCGATATTTTGGAATTTGTGAAGAAAGCGTTCGAGGAGGAAAGCCAAGACATACGACTGGTCGGAAGGGCGGAATAACGTTGATGCGGAAGAAGACGAACGAACGGACAATTTTGCATCCCATTTCTTCACAACACTTCAAAGCACCAGAATCGATAACTTTCGGATTGCTATACAGGCTTACGTGAGTTAAGAACATGTAAGAATCCAACATGACTGTCAAAATCGAAATCATGAGATTCTCAAGTGAGTTGCGTCTCATCGGAACCCCCCGACTTCGTCCTCAGGTCGCGGTTCTCCCCACGTCGTCATCCGTATCACCCCATACACTCCCTTCATCGTACCACCATCAACAACTTCTGAGGCTCAGCAACCTCCCATCCCGCGTTATTCACGCGCGCTGCCTCCTGTTCTTTCGAATCGCGTGTTTATTACTACAAGCTTCTATGCATTGCTTACCTGTTCCTATGTATCGCTTCTTACTGGTAGCTGCCAGCCGACGTCTCCTGATCACGAACGAGTGTTCGTACGATTGAGGGTTGGTATCAGAGCATGCTGTTACTGCATTTGGAAGATGTCGGCTCAGCAGGATTATTGAAGGGAATGTCAGATGCGAAAAGGTTTGTCGGGTCGTTTCCTACGTACACCACAGAGTATATATACTATTTTCTTGTCCTTTGTATTATTGTCATCAGCATCAAACACAATCAAGCACTTCACTCAATCTCAACACAAAATCTCCACTCGACAGTTTCGCAGAAAATCTCTACTCAACAATCTATTCTTCCACTCAGAGTTGTATAACAATAAGCTACTCTCTTCTCAAACCTCATCATGAATTCCCGAATTTTCTCAAGATGTACTCCTGCTGTCCGCACTATCACACAACGTCGCGGGATCTCAGCATACCAACGTGCGAGAGATGCAATCAAGCATTTCGAGCCTCATCCATTTGAACGATACCCGGTCTCTCAGCAATCTGCACCTGCAGATTGGGGTAAACAGTTCAGAAAGATTGGTGGGAATGCCATGATGTAAGTTACTTAAACCCTACGACTTATATTGGCACACACTAATTGGCATAGATACTTTCCCGGCTTTGCAATTGTTCTTGGGTGGCCATTACTGGGAGAGAAATTACTGGATGGAAAGCTATGAACATTTCATTGGCAATTAAAAGTTATCAGATAGACTGGTGTACATATTTGGGATGGATTAGAACTGTACATTTCATTTCATTTGTTGGTTGGGCACATAGCAACTGGCGTTTGGGTTGGGTTTGCCTGATAAGAGTTCATCAACTCTACATAAAATAAGCGCACAATAAAAAGAATTTAAAAATCTACTCATCACACAATAATCTACAATAAATCCTATGAAGCGTATCCAGGTCTTGTTGGATATTGACAAAAATGTTCCAGTAAGAAAGCCAACACGTGATACATATCTGATGCTGATATCGCGATGGCGCTTGGACCATGAACGTTGTAACTTTGTTTACTTTGCAACCGCCGCTCCACCAGAAAGATTGAGAAAACAAACTCGTCATACCACCGCCGTCGCCGACTTTCCACTCGCTCACTATTTCCCGTAGCCATATGCCAATATTGCTAGGTCTCAGGCGCTCTTTTACCATTAATATCATATAATGGAGTCTGACAACCTGCGCACCGCGTCCTTATACATCAATAACCAACTGCTTTCCCGGGGACTACTTCGAAATGGGCAGTCGATTGAGTTTGCACGCCCAGAGAAAGGAGAGGGAGGACTCGAAGGGACTATGGGAAAAGTTATGAGTGTTATAAATGACCTAATCTTGCGACGAGATGTATGTTTCGTACTGCCGTATGTATATACTACCATTTACTAACAAACAACGTAGCGCGACGCAACACAGCGCGAGAACCTTTCCCAGACAATACGCACCATTCAGGCCGACTCCCTCCGACAGACAACGGATTTAGAACGCGTCAATACGAAATATGTGGAAGCTCAGCGCAAAGTCGGGCTGGCCGAGGCAAACGATCGCGCATTAAAGCAACAGATCCGGAGCGCGGAGCAGACGGCCAAGGGACTACGTGAAGAAATGGCGCGGATGAAGATTCTTGTAAATCAGACAAGGAATTCTTGCGCAAACGAAGTCCGGAAACGAGAACGTGTTATTGAAGGCTTAAAGAAACATGTCGGGGAAGGAGGTAGAGCCAGAGGCAGCGGCAAAGCGGTCGGCGTGATAACTGTCAATGTGGTTGCTGGAGTTGGAGGCGAGACAAAGGGAGGAGAAACCACGAGCATTAATGACACTGGTTATGATTTACGAACGGAGACAAATGAGTTCTTGACTGAACTGGCAAGAGGCTTGAGCGAAGACAATGAAAACATGGGAGGCTTGCTGAGGCGGACTGTTGACACTTTAAGGACTTTAAGTGGCTGCGAGAAGGACAATACAAGAGACCTTGGTATGGTTGTACAAATGGAAACTGGATATGAAGCACTTGCTGGAGATATGGAATACGTAATCGAGCATTTACGGCATATTCTCACGAATCCGTCTTTCGTGCCGCTGGAAGAAGTGGAAGTCCGAGAAGAAGAAATCGCCCGCTTACGTGATGGATGGGAGAAGATGGAGTCACGTTGGCGAGAAGCCGTCCAAATGATGGATGGTTGGCGCAAACGGATGTCGAGGAGTGGTCAAACCGTCAATTTAGAAGAGCTGAAGATGGGACTTTCGCTTAGTCCCTTGAAAACGAAGGAGGAGGCCGTGGAAAACGCCTACCAGCTTTCTACGCTTATGGAAGAAGGCGAGGGTGACACTCAGGCCGATATCGATGCAATGGACGATTCTGGAGTACCTGGCCAGAACGAATTTCAAGAACCGGAATTCGATGAAGATGATTCAGAACTGTCGGAATCAAGCATGTTCGAGGATGAGCCACTTGATGAAGCATCCGAAGAGCAGCCAAGTGAACCCTCTGAAGTCGAAGAACAAGAGGACAAGACTTTTGCTACAGCTTCATCGCTCTCTCCGGGACCACCTCCCCAACTCTCGCCATTGCGAGAAACGAATACGAAAGGAAATCAAGGCAGTCCCTCGCCGCAAAGGGATGGCTTCTCCACGATCATGGAAGAGAATACTTACGAATTACTCCAACTCGAAGCTGGTACACCAGCCAGGCCGAAGTCGACTCCTAAAGCCCGATCGCAGACACCAAAGAATCAGGAGAATCCAGACTTATCACTTGACGAGATTTCCCTCCTCAAGACGTCAAAAGTTTCACAGCGATCACCCCGGAAAATCTCCAACCCAACTCCAAAATCCTCACGTCCGGCTGCTGCACCCAAACTTCAACAGACTCCGTCCAGTAAACTACCCAGACCCAGGGACAATCTTCCACAGCAGAGTCCATTAACCATGGCAAGCATCGCAGCGAAGCTTGCAGCGACGGAAAGAGAGGCGGATGCTGCTCGAGTACGAGCAAAGATTAAGGCTGCTAAGCTAAGTCGAGTGAATGCTGCTGTAGTTAATGTTGATGCTACAAAACTTATGCCTCCTCCCCCGAGAACGAACGAGCTGGTGGACGATGAAGATGCTGAGCCTGTAAAATCTGATGCAGGCCAGAACAGAAAACGCAAAGCCACCGGACGTACACAAGGCGGTCGGGCCAACAGGAGGAGGAGTACGTTGAGTCCTTGGGAGCTGGAAAGCCTGATACTAGGTGGGGTCACGGTAAGCCCCGGAAAGGAATCGTGATCGCTGGAATTTACTGTAGATTTATGGCATGGCATGGCGTTTGGAAATAGGATTATACTTGGGCTTGTTGATGAGTTTATGAATGACTCCGGACACCGGGTGGGTGAGGGTAGTCCTAATAGCGGTTCTAAATGAACAAGCGATCTTTTCTTCGATCATCAGACTTTTGTCGCGTGCCGCCTATAATGTGCGATAGCAGCAGAAGACCGGGAATCAAATATCGATAAGGAGACACCATATCAGACTAGTACCACTTATATCTACTGCGCCTCGGTCTCGGGGTTCAGGTACGTTGAAGTCAACAGACTTTAGTAGGACCATAACCCCTGGGCTAATCCTTGCATCTTACTAGCGCGAAGGCTGTTCACACTAGCACAGGCGAGGTGCATTACAGCATTTCTCCATAGACTTCGGTCTTCCACTCTACACAAGTTTCCATATTTTTTATACTCCATGTGTCATTGCTATCATGACCCCGCCTCCCGCCGTTGTTCCAAGACGGCCTCACAGGAAGTCAAGACGAGGATGTAAATTTTGTAAACAGCGACGAGTCAAGGTATGTCTACCTCCTCAACACTAGATGCAATGAAAGTATACGCTGTGTTTTGACTGACACCGATTTAATGGATTACAGTGTGATGAGGTTCATCCGACGTGCTCCAACTGCTACGATCGAGGACTGGAATGTTCATATTTAACATTATCAGCTACACAATCCGCTCAGGACACACCACCCAATGGACAACCCCAAAATGTCACTAGAATTGGAAATTATTACCACGGAGTCACAGTATACTTCAGTCACCACAGGAAAATAGCTACGCCGACGGCGGAAAGCTGATCTTTCATTATTCCACCGCTGTATACCAGACACTAAGTACGATTCTGGTCCAACAGAAAGTATGGCAGACATCGGTAGTTCAGATTGCCTTCGAGCATGAATTCCTCCTGCGTGAGATTCTGGCGCTGTCGTGTTTACATCTCGCACTCACAGACGAGCGGACAGCTCCACAACTCAAAATTGAGTCTATCAAACATCAACAGGCTGCTCTTGCACAATTCCGTCCTCTCGTCAAGTCCGCGGATCTCGAGGCTGCAACTCGTCAATCCGTGTGGCTATCTTCCTGCTTCCTTTCCATAAGCTCGTTCGCTCGCGTGAGAGTAGAGGGAAGATTCCAGATGGCAGAGCTGGCTGGTATAGATGATTTTCTGACGTGCGCCCGCTTCGTACGAGGTACGGTGACACTGATGGAGAATTTTGGACAATCGACCCTCTTCAAAGGTCTGGATCGCCTTTTGCATCCTGGAGTACTGACTGGCGAAAACCCTCTCACTGCGAACAACCCAACGGATGATCTCATTGCGCTTTCTCGACTATACATCGCTTGCAACGCCGAGCCATGCGCGACGATCGCTCTCGTATATCATGAAGCCATTCAATTGCTTCACGAGCAGTTCACATTACTAGACGCCATCGCTCGGAACGAAGACTCGCAATCGCCAATCTTTGTTGCGCTTACGTGGCCCGCCGCTGTACCTGTAAATTATTTGACTCTTCTGGAAGGAAGACAACCACTTGCTATTTTAATACTGGCATATTACGGGGCCTTGTTGCATCGAGTCGACTTCTTTTGGTGCTTTAAGGGCTGGGGAAGGTATCTTGTCAAAAGCAGTGTATCTTCGATGGGTAATGCATTTGATGAGCTTTTGACATGGCCGAAGACTGCGGTTGGGTTGTGTTTATGAATGAATCGGTAAGAAAGCTCAAAATTACAGTATGTTTACAAATCGCTAAGTCTAGTAAAGTCTATATCCTAATGTGCCAGAACGCCCGGAAACCAATAAAAGCAAGCAATGTTCATGATACAATCCGCTAAACTTCACTCGCCCTTGAGTTCAATCCTATAGCTGAGCCTCTGACCACCTTTCCTCCGAGAACAACCGATGGATGAAAAACATTAAAAATCGCCATCGCAACAAACATCAAAGTCGCATCGAAAAGGTATGCGTAAACCTCATTCGACAGTAGTACTCCGTCATTGCCCATCGCAAACTCAATCAGACGGAACACCGAACGGATCAAGATCAAAGCGCTGGCTGCGTACAAGACGTAGAGCACTGTTTCCCAGTTTCGATGACGAAGCATTTCTTTCGCTGGAACTCTCATTGCTGCAGCCTCCGTAGACGCCTTGAAGCGGCGATGGAATACGAAGGAGACGATTATGAAAACGCTGAAGAAGACGAGTTGAACGGCGAGACCGGCGACTGTGACAACCTCTCCCGTGTGTAATGCGCTGGCTGATCCACTGGACATGATTCCTCCACCTGTTATAATATCAGAATTCATTTCTCCCCAACAATTGAAAGTTCAACGTACCAGCAGCTTGACCCAGAAACGCAACAACATCGCCAATAACAAAGATCTTCGTCAACCACTTAATTCGAATTGGAGACAAGTGTTCCGCGCCCAGAGATACGATCAGTCGACCAAGAACCATATATATCGACGCAGCGAACAGCGCAGGCGCGAGGAGAATAAGGATCGTTTGGATACTGTAAATCGGAATCGATTCCGTATCGCTATGTGCCATGATTCGACATATGTAACCAATTATCTCGACTAAGAAAGAGAAGTTTGTTAGCAGTGATCTTGGCGGCTGAACGAGAAAGTAGATGGAGAAGAAGACTTACAAACACCACCAACTACGAACGCGGTAAAATACCATGATTTAGATTTCACGATCTGATAGATGTGGAAGATCGTCGTTATTGAAAATAGGACCAGGAAGATTACGGCTGCGGCGATGGAGGGTGTGTAGCGGTAGAGTTTCCAGTCGGATTGGTCTTCGCTTGTGGATGACATTTTGATGAGCGAGATTTTCGGATTTCGAGGTGGAAGGTTTTGGAATCGGGAACGACGGATTTCGAGGCTGGAAATCGTACAGAATACAAGACACGAACTTCCCGAAAAATAAACACAGCAGCACCCTCCTATATACATACTAATCCCCCCATCCATCCACCGACCTAGAATACGCAAAATGCAACCGCATACGAATAAGCGAGTACGTTCTATCCGACAAGCGAGATCCGACGTATAAGGGTGAGACATGATTGGATACCGTGCAGAGCGTGGGCGCTATGGCCAACGGCATTTGAGGCTCTGGCCGAGGACGGAGGTGCCGGGAGTAAGCGAGTACGGATAGATGGGGGATAGCGTGGTGTTACGGCTGGGGGTTGAAAATACTATTTTGCTAGGGCGGACTAAGGGTGGGCGCAGTTGTTTAAGGAGAGAGATGGGTTTGGAGATTTGGAGGGAGGTGGATTTTGACCGTTGGATGCCGATGGGCTGGTAGGTAAGGTGTGGATTGTCATTTGCGGCTTATTTTGCGATGAAGTCGGGTTGGCGGGAGTGTTCCGAGTACGATCGCGAGAATGGGGAAATATTATGGTGGCTTGGGGTGTAGATGGGAGTTGGGCTAGGCAAAAGTGTAGCTTGGATTATAGCCGACTCTGGGTATATATCTGATTGCTCCCCGGATCCTTGGGGCTTGATTCTTGGTTCTTTTGCATACTCGGTTTGATGTGCTTGCTCATACCTCCTAATATAATAATAGGCACAAGAAAGTAGCAAATGTGTTTTTCACCTGCCAAATACTTCTTGGCAGGCGCTCCTATTATAATTATGCGGCTACTTTCCTGCGCGATATCCCGCCGAAGTCCCCGTCTCCCCTGGATCTCTCTTGCTAAGCGAGACGACCAAAAGCAAAATCACGATATCACTTCACGAATACTCTACTTTCAAAGCTCAATTGCCATTTATTGGCACGAAAACAACACCGGAACACACCTAGGATTTTCGCGTCCAAAGAAGTAGACCGTGTGGCCATTTCCCTGGGGTTGGGGTTTTGGGGGCGTGTCCATACGTGATCCTCGAGATTCCAATTCTATAAAAATAGGTCTAGCAGGGTAATTTTACATGGCCAGGATGCTGCTGACGTTTTTAAAAGGTGGGAAGACTCGACAAGTATGCCCTAGTACCTATAGGGAACATGCGGTGTCGCACGGGCGTTGGACTTCTGGTGCCTGCGCCGTTTAGTTGGCGGCGCTAGATGCGCAAAGAGGCCAGTAGCAGCCAGTATTCCCGCCTTGTGTGGACGTGATCCTAGAGAATTCGGCACTGGTAGCTATACTTGGGCAGAGAAATAGGTATCGAAGGAAAGTTTCCCGAGTTTGGCCATGTGGCACACTTGACGGGGTCATAATAGGGTCCAGAAAGTGCTTCCTTGCTTGGTATGTAGTTTCTTGGGCTGAATCGAGTGCTGGTTACTGCCTGGGGTTGCGGGGTTATGGTGAGATATCGTCGGTGACGGCCAGTGAAGGTTTAGGGTAGCTGTCAGAACTTCTGAACTCCTGTAAAACTAGCCGGACCCATAGCGTAACGGGTAGATCGTACTGATTTCCTGACGTGTCTTTTGTACACAGCTCAATAAACTCAGGTTATTGTTAATTGGACCCAGACTCATTTAAATCCAACGTGATTATAGCCACGTTTGTTAACTGGGCCATTATTTTCTCATAATTCACACACAGTTACTTAGTCCTCATAGGTAAAACTCCTACTTTTGGAAAGCCACCCCCAAGTTACCACCCATCATAGACAGAAACCAAGCCAAATCACCGGTACCATTCACACTTTTCCAAAACTACCCCAAACACCTCCACCCCCAAACTCACACCAAAAACACACTCCCAACCCTCCCCACCACCTCCCCCGTCATCATCTCCCCATGCATACACCCATACAAATACGTCTCCCCCACCAACTCCCTTCCCCCCTCCACCTCCCTCAACACAAACGGCACCCTCGCATCCCCCAGCACCCAAACCTCATCACCCACCCCCGCACTCACAGGCCCCATCCCAAGGTACCCTCCCCTCGTCCTAAACATCCGCAACCGTCCCTGCGTAACGCCCCATCTAGCATCAAACTCGCTAAACTGGCCGTTCGCAAAATCCCCCACGCCCGTCGCGTGTTCCAGCCCCTGGAACATGGCGCTCATCTTCGGCGTGCCCTTTGCGGCGGCTGACGCGGCTGAGACTTCGGCTTGGGTGGGGAGGTGGCCGAGGGAGGGCGGACAGAGGGAGCTGAGATGAGATATCGCGGCGAGGGTGGAGGTTACGGAGGCCGCAGTGGTGGGGGAGAGGGTGCCGGCGATGAGCATGCAGAGGACCCACATGCGGAATTGGAAGATGGCTTTGTCGTAGGGGAAGGACTCGGTGGTGTTGAGGGAGTGGGTGCGTTTTCTTGTTGTTCGGAGGGAGTTTGGGTTGGGGCTGAGGGTGGTTTGTTCGGGGGAGGCTGTGAGACTGGAGTAGGAGGTTGATTTCTCGCGGTTGGTGAGGAATTGTGAGGGGCTTGGGGTTACTGGTGAGGTTTGAGATTTTCCGCGGCGGTGGAAGGATTTAGATGTCCAATCTGGGGTTAGAGATTTTATGTTCAGGCCTAGACCGGATTCGACGGTCGTTGGCTCAGATGTAGGAGCTTCTGTCGGAAGGAAAGTCGGGAAGTATGAGTCTTCTTCTTCCTCACTGGGGATTTCGTTCTTCACAGGTTGGGCACCTAATTGACCAGCGACTAACGTAGCGACCAAAACTTCTAGCCTGGATCGTTTGTATGGCCACGGCTTATCCTCTTCACAAATGAACCTGATGATCTTTTCAAAATGCCCTAGAATATGACTAGACATGACTGTGCCATCTGGTACGTGAGAGCCATCACCAGCCCAGTCTGGCGGGACAAAAACGGATACTGTGCTTTCAATCACATCAAAGCATGCTCCACGGAGTCTGTAGTTAAAAATATTAGCGACTCGTTGCCATGATACAAATTGGATGATACCAGTGCGTTGTAAGTCTGATGAGACACCCTCCAAAATATCCCAAGTTCAATAATGTTTGAAAACCAACATTCCAACGCTCCTCAATAAACATATTTACTCCTAGTTAGAGACGTAATATAGTATGCTTACTCAATCAAATTGAGCAAATAGAGATCGGAGATAAAATTTATCGTTACCCCACTATAAGGAGGTGTTCCGTCAGACTTCTAACGCACTGGTGGGACACCTCCTTCCAAGAGGGTAACGAGACTTTGCCCAAAAGCTATAATTACCCAATTTTCTGGAGTAAGTATACATTAATTTCTCTACAAAAGAGATTGAATATACCAATCGAGGAAGGAGTGATAAAATCCGTATTTTGACAACATTGTCCTTGCAAGCTGTCTCCTTAATATTGCAAAGCACTGGCAGAAAAAACAAGGCGCAATTGATACTTACTCAAGCGTAGTCCCCAGCAATTTCCGCTCATACGACTGACACGGTCCCGCCTTCGAAGCATTCCAATTTGCCGTTGCCGTGAACGACAAATCCTCATTCGAAAGAGCTGCAAAATCCGGAACCCAAGATGGTAAGCCCTTGAGCGTCCTCGAATGTTTATCTTGAACACAGCTCAAAATGGTAAGATGTGGCAGATGGCGAGCAAAGTAAAACGCAATGCTCGTGTATATTTCTTCAACGGATTTGTTGTAATCAGGATATATAGGTGGAGCTACGTCTGGCGGCCGAAGCATGTCGATGATACCGAGGACACCGTAGATCTTGTCGTGCAATTTGGTGGCTTCAAAGTAGCGAACCCATTGGCAACAACACAGAAATACGGTATTCCATCTATCGATAGGATCGTCGCTTGGAATCAAGTTGTCAATCAGCGCCGTAGTCCACTGACTAAAACCCGTGGCATCGGCCCTATGGTTGTTCGCTCGAGAATTATAGACGTAGTTAAATTTCGAGATTAGCCCAGAACTCCAATTTCTCATTGAATCCCAGGAATGCAATTTCGGCGACCGGGACGATGCGAAGAGCTTTGTGATTGGTTCGACGTTCTTGCTGGATGATTCTCGTAGTGATTTGGCGAGTTGATATCCTTTTTTCTTCATTGATGAAATGTCTGTGACCGTGAGAGACACTATGCTTTCTGTGAGCGAGGTGTTCGATTCGACTGATGCTAAGCTTTGCATGGTCGATGCTCGCGATGGACGAGCACTCAAGAGTTTTGGCGGTGCGAGCTGTTGATACAGAGATCTAAAGGTATGAAGTCTCAAGCACTCAAAGCCTATGATTTGTCGATTGTTTCTCTTCGAAGGAGGTAATGACTTTTGCAGTAGTAACCCCAATCCATTCATCGACATGATGTTCGCCAGAGCTGACATTTCATCCCAGTCCAGCTTCGAGGTCCCAGCAAGAACAGTCACATTGCGAGCCAGTGTAAGTTCTTGTAAAACCCAAGCCCTCGAAAACCAGCGACGTTCATCATAGAACCTGGCATACCCGTTCCAATATTTTCTTGTATCAAGTTTTAGTCTCTCATGGACGAGATCAAGCGTCCAATTGGATTTTAGAATCAAGTCTGTCCCGTGTTGTTCTCCGTACTGCCAAAGCGCAGGAAGGAACTGTTCGTGAAGGTACTTGAAATGTTTCAGGTTACTCTCGTCTTTGCCGAGCCAAACTATAACTTCCTGACAGAAGCTATAAACCGCGCCCATAAGCGTTACCTGAGAACATCGCTCTTCGACATCTTGCTGATTGATACAAATGGCGTCTACCCAGAGATATTTTGGGGCGTTCGATCTTGTTAACTGACAAAGTCCTTCGTACAAATTCTTCAGCACTGACAATTGCTTGTGCCCGGTCGCAGTTTCGATGATGAGTATCTTGGAAGTTTCTGGACCGTATTCCTCTACCGACTTTGCTGTACTCAACGGAGCTCCCCAAGTATATGACAGAGCCGAAAACGGTGGAGCCGTGTCGATATCGAATATTTCAAGCTCGCAAAGCTCATTGTGAAGAAAATCCCGGAATCTTATCAACCGAAATTCACGTGGGGTTTGGAGAGGTTGATAGCTATAGAGGTAGCGGTGCGGTACTTGAGGAGCTGCCATGGCGAGATTTGCGAAGATCAATTACATGATGATGGAAAAGATTGTGGAAGATGAAACGGAACGATGGGAAGTCTGGAGAGTCCATACGAATTGCATTGTGACGGATCATGCGGCTTATTCGCTTGTGCTGTGCCTACAGCGGCTGTAACGATGAGCGTTGGAGGACCTCATTCTGTACCAGAGACGGTAGGAATTGGGGGCCATAAATATCCTCATGCAGATCATGGAGACGGCATGGTTATTTATAGATAAGGGCACTCCACCTCTCTGTTTTGAAGGTTACACAAGATCGTAACATAACTTACGCTGCTCTCCATAGCCATTGGGAATGATTAACGATTTAGATGTAGATAGCCAACTCTTGGGAATACACAGGCAAGAGCCAACATTACTGTGCGTTTGTACCACTTCTGTAACCACTGATGCAATCTGCTCGCAAAGTGGGGTAATGAGATTGTACGTACCTTGTCCAATTTGAGTCCTGTGTATTAAGCTGAGCACTGTGACAAATATCTTCCCCGAAGATATTATGCTTGGACATCCATGACAGCTCATTCATTCCCCAACGAAGACCGATAAATTATTAAGAGCTGCATAGCCATGGAATGGCCGAGTAGCTGATCTTCAGCTCCAACTTTGCAGCTCAGACTAGCTATTGAAAACGAGGCGAGAAGGATGACCTCTCATAGAGAGGTCGCTTGGATCGCGGAATCATGCAGTTACGCCGGATACGTGCCTGGAACTCCACGCATCACGTATCGTGGGACTGTGATTTGAGGAAGAGCGAGTTTGTAACGGAGACGGTGAGGTTATACGGCTCCTAAGCAACGAGAACACCCAACATAAGACTTTGCGTCAGTAATTCCGTGGGAGAATTGAACCCTTTGGAGAAGAGAGGGTGTTAAATATAGGGGTTGTAACCTCAATAGTCGCTTTTGGAGGCGTACCGGTGATATTAGAATCGTGGGCTAGCAGATGAAATTGGCCAAATTGATATAAGTGCCCTCTGCTCTGATTTGTTAAAGGTTCCACATCCATACAATTTTTTTATTCTTGCCCTAAGCTCAATCGTAATTGGTTTTCATTAATCTTGATGCTTGATGAGAGAACGCAATAGCTGGTGCAACTCTAGACTTTGATCAATTGACCTTCAAACTCGGACAATCTCGCAAGAAGAGTCTCACTCTACAATGGACTTGTTCTGGGCAGCTGCGCACGCGAGATAATTGTGAAAGCAGCATGACATCTGAGTCTCAGAGATCCTCCTTCGCCAGCATATCAGCTATGTCGAGATAGAATGCAATAGCGTTGAACCTGCATAGAGTCAGCACTTGTATACTGCCCCTTGAAGAACCTAGACTTACTTCCTCTCGATCCCAACCAACCTCCATAGCCAGAACCGCAGTCTATTCGTCCAATTGATAAGATCCAAATGACTAACATTCATCAAAGTTCCCTTATAAGTCCCCCATTGAGCACTATGAATACTGACCAGCCCATCATTAGGACCCTCCTTTCTCTCAACAATAGCATGCGATTGTCTAAACGGACTAAACATCCCCGGTTCCACCGTCGCCCCATAAGAAAAATATTGTACACCTCTAACATCAGGGGTCTTCGGGTTGAACTCCTCCTGCATATATTTCTGCGTCAACTGACTGAACGCCCCCGTACTAATCCCGTGGCCATTAAAGAAATTATACAATTTTGGCAACACATTCGGTCCAATCTCCTCGATTAAGAAGTCCGCGAAATACGAGCCTCGATGCGGCGAAGCGATGGTGGTGAGCGAGAGGACATTCACATTGTCGGGTCGCAGTCGAGAAATCATGTATCTTGAATCCAGACCTCCCATACTATGTGCGATGATGTTCACGCTCTTTCCATCTGCCTTCTCTTCGATATCCTTGCACAATTTCGCGGCTCGTTCTTCGATGCTTGAGGATGGTGGAACGGAGGCAATGATGACTTCAATGCCGTTTGCGCGGAGGGCATCGGTGATTCCCCGCCAGTATTGGACTCCTCTGAAATATCTTCCTCCTAACCGCAGCTCGTCGAATCCAAGGAGGCCGTGGGCCAGTACAATGGGGTTTTTGGGAGTGGCTATTGCATGTTAATATTTGGTAGGTATACTTGACCAGAGGAGAGTACCATATTTCTCCCTGATAGACGCGAAATCATTCTCAATCGTCCTCCCAAGCTCGTTTATCCGCGCATCACTATGATTACTCTCTTTCTTTGTTTCGTTTTGTTGTTCGTGTCTAGCTATACAGGTAGAGAATGTATGTGGATGGGAGCGCATTGCATTCTGCAAGCATAGGTTTGGAGATTGTCGAGGCCATCTCGTACGCGCCGCTCGGGCGACCAGTATTGTCATCGCAGGCCGGGACACATTGGTTCTGTGGGAGGGACGATGGTGATGATTGTGCCATTGTGAAAGTTTGAAGATCCAACAGCTTTGGAAGTCGCGATACAAAGAGTGACGTATTTCAAAAATTACCCGTGCCAGATCGGTTACCCCTGTCAATCAAAAACAGCCTCATCTTGACCAATCAGGCTGCTTTGCTGGTAAATGACCACTTAGTATGGAGAACAGTACAGAGACAATGCTTTAGAATTAATAAATAGTGCCTCATACAGGACTACTCAATATCTGTTATTTTTGGTACTAATCGCCAAATACTGCTCCATGATCAGAATCAATATCAAAACACAAACGGTTATACTCAGCCTCTCATAATAAGAGAGGAACCCAATGTCTTCTGGATGATCAACTTTGAAGGCAAGACATGGGATATCTCATAGCATTGCAGCTTCTTCTATACACATGTCTTCTTATGTCCTCGCCAGCCTTCACCAGCCGCTCTCAAAAGCAGTAGCAACAAGTATACCATCTACCACGTTCCGAATTCCACTCCACGAATATCACCTGCCTTCCCGAATTCAGCCATCTATTTGGGCACCTCAATACGCTCTGGGACGATAGGAGTAATATCAAAGACAGCCTTCAACAGATCCTTCACGACTTGATCTTGGCCTTTCTTCCCTGCCTGTTGAATCTCCTTTATCTTGACCTCAGCATCTTTCGAAGCATCTTCTTCAGCTTTCTTGTTGCCGCTTGTGTGCTGTAATGATTCATTAGTATCTGGTATACTGTGCTGCGGTGTTGATGGCTTTATATCTGAGTACATACTTCAGCCTCAAACTTCTTGAACTCGTCATCCTTTGACTTCTTGTAGTCGTCGATTTCTTTCTTGGCTTCGTCTCTTGCTTCCTTTACTCGCTTTGTGCGGTCTATACTCCACTCCGTCAGCAATGGGCCTCGTTTCGTGAGTCAGGTCGTCTCGCAGGGTGTCGTGGGGCATACGATCGAAAGGCGGGTTTCTTACATTCTCTAGCTAGACAACACAGATATATTAGCCATCCGCACTCTTTGAATTCCCTCATGACATCTCTTACCTCGCTGAACAATCTTCTGAGCTTCTCTCTCCGCCTATAACAAATCAGCAACCCTCTCTCAAGCTCAGCTCCCCTCGAAATGCCCTCCGTCCCCCAATCCTAACCCCCCCCCACCCCCCCCCCCCCCCAACCCCGCAGAGACAAAACCTACATCAAGCAGCGTCTGGATACCCGCCGAATTCTGAGCCGACTATCCTCACAGCACATTAGCAAACAATCATCCACAAGCCCATCCCACCAAGACCCAGGCCCACTAACCATCTTGACAATCAAACGAATCCTAATCCCAACCTTCTAGCACAACCTGTATATCACGAAAACAGAAATCTCCAAAGGCGGAAGAGAAGTCGTGGGGTGTAAAAGGATTGTTATCGTGTCGTGGTCAAGAATCTTGTCGCAAGCTAAGCTCTACGTACGACCGACCAGCTCGCAGCAGGAAGCTCTTGAATGATCCCTGCTCGCTTCCGCGCCTGGAGCTTTGTCGACCTCGCCCCTCCAAATTATTTATGGACGAGCAGCTCAGAACGAGAATTGAATCCTCCAATCTCTAATAATTTACTCGAACTTCTACTCTAGCATTGGCTTGAAATGTCGCGCGCCGCGAAACTCACCCTCGCAGGGACATCTCTCTTCGCAGCCAGCACAGTATTCTTCGTGCATTACTCCCAGCGGGCGGAGAAGACTGTAAGTCATAGATCCAAAGCTTTTGAGAAATCCGATTAGCAAAGTAAACTTCGTGAGCTAATTATACTGTAGGCTATGCACGCAGGAGTCGTTCGCGACATGCAGAACCAGGCGGCGAAACGCGAACGCCAGCTCGATTTTGAGATGCAGAGAGCGATGGAGGAGGAATATAAGAAGATTCAAAGTGTCCATGATAGTACGGAAGTCCCTGAAAAAACGCCTTGACAGTAGCTGGGTCGTTCGGCTGTCGAGTTGGAGTAAAGAGGATGAGAATTGGGGGGAAGGGAATTGTACGATATCGGCGAGGACGAGCGACTCTTCAAGGATGTACGATAGTGTATTATACTTGGGATGTCCGAATGCATATAGAGAGGCGAACATTCGGGATTTTAGAGCACGATGGCGTTGATTAGGGACAATCTTCTGGCATCTTGTGCTTGATTTTATCACGGAAAGAGGCGCACGAAAGGACAATTTCGAGAATCACTTCTCTGCATTACTCTCATAAGTTTTCACCAACTCGCTGTGATCTCTACCCCCCAAGCAGATCTAAATGTTACAGGGTCAAGTAAACGCATCCCAAATAAGAACCAGGTACCCTGGAATGTTTTCAGATCTGCAAGCGCAAATCAGATGCACAAGACTTCGCCCACCCAGTTTTTGGGAGTCTGCAGTCTCTTTCCCTCCCAAACGCCGTCCCTATGCAAACATGCTACCACGCCCTCTTTTCCCTTCCCGATTTGTTACAATTTGATTCCATTCATTGCTTAACGCACTGAAATCCCAGACCTCTCGGTGAACATTCTTGCAGCAATATTCATTGATGCCAACTCTTGGAAAAGTAGCTTAGCGGCATATGGAATATGGATTTGAGAGATTCTTGTTTTGTTTTTACAAGATCGGCATTCGAAGTTCTGAGATTGAAGCTTTCTGTAACAATGTTAGTGATCTGTAGGAACATTAAAGTGAGAGGAAAAGGGTCTTACGCAATAGGGGTCATTAGCCCACAGATATCGCAAAGATGCACGCGGAAAGCGTCAGAAACTTCGAACAATCTCTCTTTCAAGAAAGCAGCAGCTCCGTGAGAAATCATGCAATCACGTTCCATCTCTCCGAAACGCAGTCCACCATCTCTCGCACGACCTTCCACTGGCTGTCTTGTTAAGATCTGTACCGGTCCTCTCGCACGAGCGTGGATCTTATCATCGACCATGTGACGAAGACGTTGGTAATAGGTTGGTCCAAGGAAGACTTGGGCCATCATCTTTCTTCCCGTATGTCCATGATACATGATTTCAAACCCTCGAGACTGGTACCCATGATCACGCAACAGTTTTGACACGGAATCAACGGTGACTTCGGTGAAGGGAGTTGCATCACCCTCCAGACCACGGAGGGTTGAGACCTTACTCAGTTGACACTCGATCAAATGAGCAATAGTCATACGCGACGGAATGGCGTGGGGGTTGATAATTAGATCTGGAACTATACCCTGGCTTGTGAAAGGCATATCCTCCATTCTATAGGTGATACCGATTGTACCCTTCTGCCCGTGACGGGAAGCAAACTTGTCACCAATCTGTGGAATCTTCGTTGTACGCATGCGAACCTTGACGAAGCGAAGACCTTCAGCATTGGTTGTAATCAGCACTTGATCAACAATACCATTTTCGGTACTTCGCAACGGGGTGGAAGCATCACGCTTTGTGTGAGCTTTTGTACGTTGTCCGAGTTCCTCTGCGTCAGGTGCCATTGGCGCTGTCTTTCCAATAATTATGTCTTCTCCGGAGACACGAACACCTGGGGCAACGATTCCATCATCATCAAGCTTATCATATGTACCGTGCTTAAGCTTGAGTGTATCAGAGCGGAATGGCTTCTCAAATTGCTCCACAACATTCATACCAATTCGCTTCTCCTGGTCGGTGTATGCACGGTAGAACAGACTTCGGAAGAGTCCACGATCAATACTGCTCTGGTTCATAATGACGGAATCTTCTTGGTTATAACCAGAGTAACAAGCGATAGCTACAATGGCGTTTTGTCCAGCAGGAAGTTCACGGAATTTGAGGAACTCCATTGAACGGGTTGTTGCAAGCGGCTTCTGAGGATAGTAGAGGATATTTGCCATGGTATCCATACGTACGTCGAAGTTAGTGAGGAAAACACCCATAGCTTGCTTACCCATAGCAGACTGATAAGTATTACGAGGAGACTAAATCTGTCAGTGATGGGACAACTAGAAAGTGCCCACGTTTGCATGCATACCTGATTGTGATCCGGGAAGGGAATAATGCTCGCACAAATACCCAGAATCATACTTGGATGGATCTCACAATGCGTCCAAATGTGCGCCGTAGGTTTCATAGGCGCCTTGACACGCTTGTTCAGATCTCCACTCTCGTCTGGCCGAAGCGCGTAACCAGCTTGCAGTTGACGAGATATATCCAAATCTTCTGGCGTCATGACGATCATGACGGTCTCCTCTTCTTCGGCATCTAGGTACTCAACCACACCGGCATTGATAAGCCCTTGGAAACCAAAATACCCAGCTTCTGCCTTTTGTTCCAGATCCATATTGGCTGGCATGAGTTGATCCTCTTCCAGTCTTCTTACGTGATCTTTGTTTAAAACTAAATTGCCCTTATTCTGGCTGTCGACATCGTTATCGATGACGAAAAGGGGCCGACACACTCTGCCTGCATCTGTGAAGATCTTGAACTCTCTGTCTCGAATATCTCGGATCAAAGATACTTCGTGTGAAATCAAGTGAGACCGACGAAGGTGCTGCACGGTACGAACCAAATGAGCTGGGTCACGATGGACCCCAACCCACACTCCATTGACAAACACTTTGGTAGCATTGGGCGAGCGCAACGGCTCGTATTCTTCCAAGACTTCCATGTTACGTTGAATCATGAACTCGATAATCGGATCACTGGGAGTACCAACAGTGACATAACACATCAGAGCCAAATTCTTGACAAGTCCACAAGCTTGACCTTCAGGGGTTTCAGCCGGGCAGACCAAACCCCAGTGAGTGTTGTGTAACTGCCGAGGTTTTGCGATCTTTCCATCACGTCCTATAGGAGTGTTGGTACGACGTAAATGTGACAGTGTAGACGCAAAGGTGTAGCGATTGAGCACCTGAGATACACCAGCAGTCGATTGTGCAGCTTTCTTCTGATCTCCCCAGTTACCAGTAGCTAACGAGTATTTGAGTCCGTTCGTCAATGTGGTGGATTTCACTCCAAGTGTCAAATTGAACTCTCGGTTGTTCTCAACACATCGTTGTAGATACTTGTAAACATCCCCCGTCAGTCTCTTAAAGAGATTGCGGAAGAGCTTTGCGAGCAGGGGACCAGCAAGATCCAGACGCTTCTTTCCAAAGTGATCTCGATCATCGCATTCTCGCCGTCCTAGAGCACACTGCAACATCTTGTGAACCATGTAGCCCAAGAAGAATGCTTTTCGGGTTTCACTGCCCTCCTTTTGTGAAATATGAGGCAACAGCTCTTTCTGCATGATATCACGAGCATGTCTGACACGCTTGTCACGCGTCAAAGTATTGCTATTACCACGCTTCCCAATAAAGTCCAATGCAACCTCACGATCTTGGATGACAAAAGCCTCTTCTATACATGGCTTAAGCATTTCCAACATTTGTGTATCGCTTCGGTCGTAGCAGATGTGGTTTAGAATATCCTCATCAGAAACAACACCGAGAGCTCGGAACACCACTGCGATAGGAATATCGCTTTTGACGTAAGGAAGAGTAGACTTGATCGTCTGGCCGAAACCACCTCTCTGGCCATCGCCTTTTGCGAAAAGCTTGATGGTCATCGAAGAAATGAGTCGGGATCCCTTTTCCAGGGCGCTTCGAATCTCTGCGATATAAGGAGTTGGACTGGGAAGGGGCTTTTTGAAAACCTGGACGATGTTGGCTGCACTGCGCTCCTGAGCAATCAAGACTTTTTCACTTCCGTTGATAACAAAGTAGCCTCCCTGATCGTACGGGCATTCGTTCCAACCATAAAGTTCGTCTTCGTCGAGATCCTTGAGAATACAGTATTTAGACTTGAGCATGATTGGGAGCTTCCCGATATAAACTCTGTCTATCTTATCCTGCTTATCACCAGCGGCTGTAATCTCCTGTCCCGAATCTTCATCCTCCCAAAGAAGCCTTGTTGGAAATTCTCCAGTTCTGTGATGTTCTGCTAGTTGCTCCTCATCCATCTCATTCAGAGAGACTGGGCGCTCGACTGCTACCGAGACCTTCTTCGTCATTTCGAGGTAGAGTGGACTCGAGTAGGTCAGGTTTCGTAGACGGGCTTCCTGTGGCAACATGACAGCCGTGGTGCCATCTCCTTCGGTCATGGCAGGTCGTGATAACAAGACTGTTCCGAATTTAATTTCATATCGTCGAAGGGCGATCGGATTGTCATCCGAGGATGGCGGATTATTCTGGTCGAGGGTGAGTTGAGAGTTTTCCTCCACCAACTCCTGCATGGTCGTAGAAACGAATTCGTCAAAGGAATCCAACTGCTGCGAGACCAGACCTTTGGACTCGAAAAATGACGATATGACTGCCCAGCAGTCCTCGGCCGTGATTCCTGCATCCTCTTCCTCATAATCATCGTACTCGTAGGCTTCCTCATATTCTGCCATATTGTATTTCGACTGGTTTATATAGTTTGCGGACTGCGTTCGCGATGGGATCGAGGAGAAGTGGAAGAGTCAAAGGGCAAAGTTGATGGGTTGTCGCCTCCGCCAGATGCGCTGCGCGCGTCGCCCAGTCTCTGCCAAACTTTATAAAAGCAATAAAAATATCATTAATATAGAACGCTGATGTATTCTAGATCTGGAGGCTCAAGATCAGGAAGCTTGGGTTGGCCTGGTTGAATTGCGCGCAAGACGAGGTTCGAAGGGATAATCTGGGCGCGGCCACTTTCTTTGAGTCGCGATAGGCTGACTAACCTTTTCAGGCTTAGCGTAAATGGAGCTTTTGATCAATAAGCTCCTCATTCCAAACCCTTCTTTTCAAGGCAGAATTTATTCTTCTTAATATCCAGTGTCAGCACCTAATTTGTACTTCATTGCGTTTTGATCTCGATCAAACAAATTATTTTCTGTCAGAGTTGACTTTATAACTTTGCACCTCGAAGCATAAATTCTCAATTAAGGACAAGTCCCAGCAATAGCGATGTGCTTGGAAGGCGCGCAGGCATGTGGCCAAACAACTGCAGCTCTTTCATAGGCATTCGAGTACCGCATGGTAATTTTTTCTGAAGTGGTATATTTTTTTGTATTAGTTGATATTTTCTATTCTAACTATCCTTTCTAAGCCTTGAGCTCGCTGGCGTGCTTCTCATTAACCAATACGTATCTGTATCTGGCCTTTCCATTCTCCATGTCAACAATTGCGTTGTTCGCATCCTTCAGAGGTCGTTCTTGAATGATTGGATGGACCTTCTTATCAACAGCAAATTTCAACATGGCAGCGATATCAGCTGGAGATCCGATGGCAGATCCTCCCATCTTACATCCCTTAGCGATCAAAGCAAAGGCGCTGAAAGCTGGAATCTTGTCCTCTGGAGCACCGACCTATTTCAAAACGTATTAGTTCAATTTTCTTTCCCTACTTCACCAGGGAAAACATACCTGGATGAACTGTCCTTGTGTTCGCAAGAGTTGGAAGTACTGCTGGAGAGGCATGTTTGGGCTAGAGACGGTGGAAACGATGAGGTCCAAAGATCTTGCGTTCTTCGTTGCCCATCCCTCGTCCTCAGTAGCAATGTACTTGGTGGCACCCATCTTCATCGCATCCTCTTTCTTGTTGTTGGTTCTCGAGATAGCAACTACTTCTTTGCAACCAAGAGCCTTAGCCCACAAGATACCGAAATGTCCGAGACCGCCAACACCCACGATTCCAACACGTTTATCTGGTCCGGCACCGTTGTGCACCAAAGGGTTGTATACTGTAACACCACCGCAAAGCATAGGAGCAGCTTCTGCCAAAGACAACTCGTCGGGGATCTTGACAGCAAAATGAGCTGGCGCACGGCAGTAATCCGCGTAACCTCCATAGGACTTTGATCCATCCGAGTACTTTCCATTGTATGTTCCAACCATGGAGGTACAATGTTGCTCAAGACCAGCACTGCACTCCTCACAATCCAAGCAAGACCCGGACTGGGCTCCGACACCTACGCGGTCTCCGACCTTGATGTGCTTAACGTTCTTTCCAACCTTGACGGCGGTTCCAGCAATCTCATGTCCAACGCAGCATGGGTATATCGATTGACCCTGTCAACAATTATAAGATTCCTCTCTCGAATATACGTTACGGTGAACTTACCCAGCCTGAGCGGAGAGTGTGCAAATCCGAGCCACAGATACCACAATGAGAGATCTTAATATCAACATCATCCTCTGTCCAGGTCTTTGGCTCATACTCTTGCCATTCCATCTTTCCTTCGACAGCATTCTTGTCGAGTCCCAACCATCCTTGGAACTTGTATGATGGAGCTGCCATTTTCGTGGTTTGTGAGTTTTGTTCGGAGTTAGAAGAGTTAGAAAATTGGTTTGCGATTGCGAGTATACGGTTTGAAGCAGCTGGAGCAGAATGCTTTATAGGTTTCGACATGGTACAGAATTTTTATTCTTCCTCCACCGCTACACACAAATCCACTACGCAATCCTATGACGATCCACGGATTGCTACGGTAGTGGATGAGGTAGTGGCGGCTGCAGGAACAACGCGAGCGAGCCTCAACACCTATCTAAAATCCGAACTTCTATAGCAATGTTTTGCCAGATAATTGCCGATTTATCTTAATTCCGACCAGAAAGTCTAAGATCGAATCCACTCGTCGGAAGATAGTGCATATATTTCGGCCGAAGACTGGGGTTTCACCGTTACGTATTCGTTCAGAGGGTTCAACTGGTTATCAGTACTGAGCTCGATGATTACAAAGAGATGTTGGGATTTATAAACGAAAAAAATGCTAGATAAAGCAAGAGTCTGTCGCTTTATTATTGTTATCACTTGGCCGAAATGCCCCTCACATCGCATCCATGACGCTATGGAGCCACAGCCGATGCCGAGGTTTACCGTTTGCGTTCAAGCCTTGAAATTCAAGATTTGTTCTAGCTTCCACCTCCAATAAGCCACCTCGAACTGCTAAAGAAGTTTGACAAATAAATCCAACAAGAATACTAGTATCGTTTATCTTTTCTCAACTAACGTGTATGACAGGGTACTCAATCTCTTCGAAGATCTATTCACACATGTCATTAATATATTTGTGCATTTTTCCTTGCACCACACCGTGCTACAAGAATAGAAGCTTTTAATCACGTTCGTGGACGTAAGTATGCCAAATGGTAGAATCGTGTCTATTTAGTTTCTTTACTTCTATAGAGCACATTTTCCAAGAATTCGAAGCGCCTGCAAGATTTTTGAGGTCTCAAGCGTCCTGGATTCTTATCCTTCATAGTATGAACAATCGACATGCGGATAGGACGAACATTGTCTAGCAATGTGATCCACCTAAAGAATAGCCTGTTAGTATTGAACGGTTAAACTCGCTGGGAAAACCAGCCTCTAGAGTTTGGGCGATCCTTCATATTGCACTCGCTTAGTGGTTTATGATTCTCACAAGATAGATGGTGAGTCCAGCTTCGAAAAGGTTTCGAGTGGAACATTTCGGGATAAGAGGGCGCACTTCTCTGCCTTGAAAACAATGAGAAAGATGCCTGTCAAAAGAGAGCTTCCAGGATACATTGGTATATGCATTTTATTTCCGGAATCCAGTTGCATATACAAAATCTCCTATGGAGATGAAAGAAAAGCAGAAGGGAAGTGATGATTAGCACAGCCTGAATCTTCTTGAGAGCTGGGATCTGCCCCGATGTGCAACTAAGAGGTTTGCTGAAGTAAAACGTGCTTTATTCAAATATTCCTCGAGTTTCGCAACATATGAACAAGCAATTATGCTACTCGAATATTGAGGATTCTGCTGTAAACATACCACGATCGGCTATTTCTAACATTTCCCAGATACCTTTCCCAGATACATAATTCTAAGAATAATTTCGAATTTTCAGCCAAATTCGACCTGCTTATACCAGTTCAAGAAACTTAGCTGATATTTAGACAATAAATTCTATGAAGTCAATCTGTCCAATCAATTACTTTCCTTTCTCTTTCATTACAGCAGCCATCATATCGGCAATCTTATCAGCAATGAAAACAACTGACCCAGGCTTGGGATCCACGCGAATTGCAGCTGCTCGGGCTTGGTAGGGTATTTTTAAAGTGCATGAAGCCTTTGGATGAGGAGCTGATGGCCTGCAGAGAGCGTTTCCCTAAAGTGAAGCATGGATTTGGTAATATAGCAGTGCGACCGGGAACGGATCTACTAGAGTACACCAGTTGTCGTACAGATTGTGAAGACGTGAGTGGCTTTCATCTATCCTCTTCTTGGTTTGCAAATCAAGAGTGATCTTTTTCCTTTCGGGGGCTCGAACTGACATAGCTACACCTTGTCATCTCATTTTTAAGTGGTGACAGATCGCTTAGCTTTCTCAGTCAAATCAACTTGAAATGTGAGTAACCCTTTGTTACTGATTGTTAATTACTTTTAGATGTTTTCTAGAGAAACCAGATGAGCAGTCATCTTATATTCCATGTCTGAAAATAGAAACCTGGTAAGTATTTTGACCAAGAGACGTAAATTTGCTCTAACATGGTGAGTTCTGGAACTGGATGAATACCTGTTCGGGGCAAAGATCAATGGATTTGGAAGGGAATTGACTCCACTGCACTCAGTTTCAAACGCCAGGTGCCCAGGTGATTCAGAGGGTCCTCGTCATAGCTACCTTCTATATCACGAACGACAGCTTCGTTCCTTCCCTTTCGGTTGGGCCAATCAAGCTAGTCACAGCGCCCAAACATCTTTCCAGATTTTACGTCCAATGCTTTCTGCTTCATCAACACACTCGTTTGGTTCAATAAAGCTCCCTCTTGGTACTCTTGGTCCTCGTTCTTGGTCATCTTGGTCCCAGCATCCTTCGCTTTTTGAAATACAATTTCATCCCGATTTTGCTTCAACCCTGAATTCTCTCTTTCAAAAACCACGAAAACTCGTCAAGATGATTTATTCCACCTTGATTCTCGCCGTCTCGGTAGCGGCAGTCAGCGCCCAGGGTGTACAATAGTACGTCCCCTTCCCCAACCATTTCACACACACTAACATCGCACAGCAACGCAGCATCCGGACTCTTCTCCTGCGACGACATGCCAACCGGGTCATACTGCCTCATGAACTCCATGAAAGGCAGCATCCTCATCCAATGCGAGAACAGCATGGGGATGCCCATGAACTGCAACGATGAGTTGAAAGGTGTGTTCCCGGCTGGTATCACGCCGAAAGGGAATAATTTCGCGCCGTGCTATCAGTCGAATAAGACGGCTGGTGATGCTGTGTGCTCGAAGAAGTAAGCAAAATATGGTGATGCTGTTAAGGGCTGGCTAATAGAAGTAGTTGTATTGCTCATCCTATGGATGCAAATGGAATGGAGACTGGGGAATACCCGCTTCCGCCGTCGGCGGATTGTACGCCTATTGCTAATCCTAATGCATCGAGAACTTCCGCAATGGCAGGGAGTTCGAGTTCTGCTTATACGGCGTCTGGACTGAATCCTGGTGCTACATCATTGTCTGGGCCGATGTTCTCTAGCGCTCCAAACGCAGGTCCAAATTCAAGACTTGCTGGGCCTTCAGCATCTAATATGGTTTCTTCGAATGCTGGGGGTTCTTCAAGTCAAGCAACAGCATCTGCTGGATCCTCGGCCTTGAATATGGGTCCCTCCAACGCTGCGATATCAAAACAAAGTTCAGCACCCGCTGCATCGTCTTCTTTGGCCAGCGGTGCGTCTGCTAGTCAATCACGAACAGATACTACCCGGTAAGTCTTTCACTTGAAGATACTCCTCAGATGTTAATAAAGATTTGCAGAATGGTCGGGCCAACAGGAAATTCCGGAACCGGCAACAATACAAACAACAATCCAAATGGCAACAACGGAGCTGGTGGCGGCATTACCACTCCCACTCCCAAGTCTCCATCAGGTCCACAATCGACACCTGCACAATTCGAAGGTCAAGCCGTGACCAACTCAGCTGGATTTGCACTCGTGGCAATCGGAGTTTTCGTCGCTTACTGTCTTTGAATTTCCAACTATCAAAGCCATGTATTCTTTCATCGAAAATCAATTCCAGTTATACGCGTCAAATGGTGTTGGACGTTATATTGGGCGTTTTGATGTAGAATGTTTACGACGCTTTTCTTTGGCAAAGTATGGAAAATACCGCATCCACACATGAAATGCATCTGCGGGTCTGTTATTTATATCTCTCTGCTGTCATATTAGTGACGGCTATTGTATGGTAATATGGATGGCTATTGAAATATAGATATGGGTGTAATGAATGGGGATACGATGGTTAGTAGGAATATTGATTTAATTGTTGATGCGATTGAAATATTTCGATGACTTTGGTGTGAGGCGTTTTGTGTCTGACTGTGTTTAATATACTGAGTAATGTTGGTGGCTGTCACGATGTGCAACAAGAGGATGGGAATTCTAACATGCATGTTGTTTGGTACTGGCGTGCCACACCTAAGGGAGTTTTACGTCATGTTCGACGTGATTTTACTGGTGTCAGTGGAAGAGGTACGTGCTAATGCATTTCGTGCATTGCATAGGTATGTATGTATGTAGATGGCTTAGTGAGCCGGTTGTAGATGTATTTATGGATTTGAGGCGTGAACTCGTTGACGTGGTGGAAAAGAACCTGGGAAGTTTGTGGTGGGGTGGAGGATGAGGGTAGTGGGTAAAGGATGCGGAGGTGGAGTGGGTTGGAGGATGAGCGTGTGGATATGTGGTTGTGTGGTTGTGTGGTGGATTGATTGTTGGTGGCGTTGCGATGTGCAACAATTTGTTTTTGGGGATTTTGAACATGCCTAGGTGCATGGGAAGGGGTGAGGGGGATGGATTGGGATGGGGGGTGGATTGGTGAGGAGGATGTGGGGGAGAGGGTGAGGTGGATGGATATGGGGGATTTGGGAAGGGGTGGATGGGATATGGGGGAGGGAGAGGATTATATGGGAAGGAGGAGGGGTACATGGGAGATATGGGACATGGGGGAGGGAGGATGGGGGAGGTGAAAAATAGATGGGTATAGGTACCGACCTAGGTAGATAGATGATATTGGGAAGGGTTGAGCGTGGGTGTGGTTTGATGTGGGAGTGGTTGGATAGATTGAGTTTAGGGTTGGATGTAGGGAGGGATTGGATGGAAGGGGGAATTAGATGGGGGAGATGGGAATGAG